ATATATGCTGCAGTGTACTTGCATAACTTTCTAAAACTTAGTTCACACAAAAGTGAATGTTGGTGAGATCTAGTTATTGTTGACCTAAATACAACCTCGTAAGTGCACTGTCCTGTTGCTTTTAGTCTAGCTTGCCCGACAGTCACAGCCTAGCTATATTTTATCACAGAAGAATTCTATTTTTCATTCGAACGCCTGATAACTCCTAACTTCTAAATTATTTTAGACAACGGCATCTCTGAGATCATAACTGATTGTTTTAGATCTTCATCATGATTCTATTACTTTCTCATACAATAACAAAATATATATACATATCATAAATTGGATCTCCAAAAAACAGACTTGTACATATGTCCAAATGCAGCTTATGCATGACTCATGACGTCAGCCTCGTTACTGCTCTGTATATCGGCAACGGCGTAACGTAGTTGGATACAATTAAAGCGTGTTCAGTTTCAGGGAAGTGGCCAGCGGCTTCTGGTGCAGGCTTCAAAAAGTGCGTATCATATAAATAAAGTATTATACGTAATACTGGAACACTTACTTACTCAAACGTCGAATCACTTCGAACGCTGCCGTCACAGACCCAACTGCAAGATATCTGCGACCCTAATTTAGCCTATGTTCTATTCCACAATAACGTAAGTAATGCGTACAGCCTAAACTTATTGAACTTGATGCGTCTATGCTATGGCAGATCTTAGCTGGTCAGGCACTGCCTCCCTTTACGAGGACACCGCAAAGAGGATTAAACAGAGCTAATGTTACTCATATATACACTCGATTGCGTTTACTTTCTATACAGATACGTAGATAGTAAACAGTTTAAATCTGTTACCTAGATTTTTCTTTTATCTTTGACAACATGAAATCATTAGTTCAGAATAACGTTCGCCTTGCCGAAAACCTAAATGAACTCATTGGCCAAACAGCAAAGCGGTAAACTAGACAGCGTAGAATTAACCTGAAGCGAACGAGAAAAACTTTGAGTTACGGAAAATTACTGGATGGCAAAACAAGTACAGAGATGAAGTTACCTTCAGTGACTAAGTGCCGCGTAAGTGTACGTCATAACCGTTTCAGAGTCAACGAAATTGTTCTTCGGGAACACTGTCTAATAACCTGTCATTCACATTTCTGCAATTACCGAAATTTTAACGAACTTCTGGGATTTTCAGACCCAGATGTATGTTGTAGCACGTAATGGACAATTCCTCATTTCCCGCCAGCAGACGTTTTCTGCTGTGGGAAAAACTGAAATTCCTCTTCTGTTCAGAACTACACGCGGGTCAAGCCCGCGAAGCTCAACTTGAAGCACTAGACAATCTTGTGTACGCATTTTCCCTGACACATCTACAATACCATTTAGCTAAACTTTATTATAAGTTGGTTATCGCGTGGTACGAATTGGTGGGACGAGCTGGAGTAGATCCAATTACCCATCCCACTAATAAACCTCTTGTGAACGTACTTATAAACAGTATAATATAATAGTGTTAGTGCAGATACCTCTGAGCAAATAAATGTGCTTAGTGTTTTAACATAACCGATTTCCTAGGCCATTTACTCGTTTTAAGCACACAAGTAGAACAACATTTCCAGTTTACATATGTACTAAGTCAATACCTTAAGATTATATTAAATTTCCAGCTAAAAAAAAATATGCTCTATATGGGCATCAACCAACTCCGAAGTCGATTCTGAACCGTTGGAAAGTTGTCTCAGTAACGATATAATTTTTTTATTACCTGCAAATATCAGACCAGACACAGAACAGCGATATCTGGCTCTAATTAGCTGATTTTTTCGCGCGATCTATGGTTACGTAGAGTAGGGTCTTGTACTTAAACATTTATAAATAGAGTATGTAACTAGCATTGTTATATGCTGTACCCAATATGACTGGTTGAATATGCAAAATAAGGACAGTGAAGGCCACTTTTCATTAGCGTCCAGTAATTACAAACACCCAATATAAATAGAGTATCTAGAAACACAATAGAATATTTTAAGAATAGCTAAAACAAAAAAAGGTTCAACTAGTTCCCGAATTATTCTGCTGTGTAATCTTGTTATAAGTTACGAGTTACGATCTTCTCCTTAGATCCCTAGCTGAAAACCGAAGTTGTGATTAGAGGAGTCGTTATTATTGGGTTATACAAACTTTGCATTGAAATCAATCATTTTAAGTCAAGGCGTACATCAGCAAGAAGCGAGCAAGGGACAAAGTACGACAATCCCGACGTTGTAGAATTTGAAATCATCTTATCTTCTTTTTTTCGTTTACTGTAACTTTGCTTAGAACTAGGGTGAAAATTAAGAGCAATATCTTTAATAAAGGCAAATTTATAGTACATTTTTTGTTGAACAATGGTGGAAACTCACGTTATAATAGGCTCCATCTCAAGGTATTGCCAAGGTTAGGACGAAGCAGCGGTAAAGGTGCGTCCGTCAGGGAAAAAGCATCGATTTTCTTCTGGGATAAATTTACTGGGAGTCTATATAGATTCATGTCCGACATACTACTGATACTGCCCCCACCGTTTGGATAGATTTTGTCATGTACAATTATATATTGTCCATGAAAATCCAACTATAGAGCGGTATATAGTACGCTCGCAGTAAAGACGCGACCGCTTCATTCTAAACCCTAATGGGCCAGTACACATAAACCTTTTTGTTACATATTTGAAAGATAGCTTAAACATTCATCGCCTGTTGCTAAAAAGACAAAGGTTTGTACGTATCTTACGACATCTCTAAAACGATTCTAAGCCGATTTCTGTGCATAGGCTTGGCTCAAATAAGAAACATTTTGGCGAAACACTTTGAAGCACGCGGGAGAAAATCTGTATTTTCAACAGGAAATTAAGTAGAGTTTTTTGTATGGGAACTACGTCCAAATCTACTACAAATTACAATGACCATGCCCTGGTTGATGAAACGAAAAACTAGAAAGTAACATATTATAGTTTATTCTTTATGGGAAATTTTAACGTGTGAGTTATTGTAACAAGCTCCCGTTACTAACGACGCAATCTCGTGTGCTACAATTGATTCTCTGTGAGGGTGAGTAACATTAATTTCCGCTAAACTGTCCATAGAAAAGGCTTATGCGGCTTCCAAGGAAAAAAACTTTCTTGGGTACCAACAGATTCAAAAACTAAATTCACAGTTGTTTCTTTAATAGTCACCAGTTTAGGTGAATTTAATATATTCCGCCAAGCTGAAGCCGTCGGACTCATAGATCTATACCAGAGACTACCATAAATAATTGAAGTGTGTTAAGTTTTTTAACTTCCTATGAATGATAGCGTTATTTTTGCATGCAACTCTTAAATTAAAGACAAAAAAAGACTACACCTACTAGTGCAAGGTTTCGTGCAAGTTAGCCGATTTTTCACCGAGGTTCCTCGGCGGATCTCTGAGTACACCAGCATGATGAGAAAGATATACGCAGGATCATAATTGCTCTTATAGAAATATACTGTATAACCATTTTTTTATCAGAAAAATACACGCTTATTTTTATCGTAAAGTAAATAAGAAGCTTAACAGTATTGGTGGGCTTTGGATTGAAAGGCCTTTAAGACACGCCTCGAACATAAGCTAGCTCGGTATCTTTTTTTGCAGAAAGGTCTGGACCCATTTCAGTCAACGTTACTGCAGGGGAACCTATAATAAAGTGCCAAGAGTTACTAAGCTCAACAAGAACACTCATTAGATGAAGAAAGCCAACGAGAGTGAAATTAACTTATAAAAAATAACTTTTCCTACTCAGAAAAATTGGGTTAGGTTGAATCTGTCTAAATAAGGAAATAAATTTTATTCATCATAGCCTAAGCGGATTTTGGTCCTTTTGCACATGCTTCACAAGCGGAAAAAATAAATACTTGTAAATTTATGCTGAATGTAGCAGTGCATTTGGTAGATTATACGGTAACATCGGCCAACCGTAGGTCGAAAGGTAATTATAAGGATTAATTACAGGCGATTCTGAAGAAGCAAATTTACCTATTGATAAGGTCCAAAAAAAATTGCCTTCCCAGCGAGCGTCTTCACAAGATCCTTTAAGAACCTATTCGTATGTCTTTCATATTTAACAAAAGACAAGTGATTGTAGCATCAGAGAGAATCATACTGATAGAAAATCACACATGCAAGAAAATAATATGAAATGAAAACACATAATAAAACTGCATATAGAAAATAAAAGATTTCAATTTATTCTTTAGCAAAATGTATTCGGCTGGCTAATAACATCAATGCTGAAAAAGGACTATTTTCGCAAACGATCATAAGCTACATGCCCTATGAGAGGCACCTTACTTACTGATTTGGCCCATTTCTCTTCTTTGTACAAGTGAAAAAATAGCTTTTTGCGGAAACGCTTCAGCGACGAGGTTCGGAAACATGCAGAAAAGTACAAGCTATCCAGGGCGTGTCCTCGAACCGGGTTTGGGGCTTAGTACGTCCGATCGACAGCGCCTCATAAACAAAATTTTCGTCGTGATACATTCAGCTGCATCGGTTCGTTTCGATGACCCGCCCAGGCCGTATCGATGAGTAAACATAACCAGAGTCCCTCTAGTATTTTCGCAACTATTATAAATTTGTGCAGATATTAACTGACAATCATAATAATGCTTACGCTCGTCCGTTTCAGTCGCAGTTCATGGAAGTAGGCCAAGCTTTGTCCAAGACTAATACTATTATATGACCAGAATTAAATTATGTAATTACGAAATTCATTCTTATTTTGAGAAAATGTAGGTTGTTGTCAGTCGCAGCGAACCTCGCTGTCAAACATTTCCTTTCAGTCAATTATGACCCGACTTCGCTGAAAGAACGTTTACAACCATTTGAATGGGTGTGTACGTTTCCATATCTCACTGTTTCACAACATATCGTTATATCTCCGATATAATACGATGTATCTTCTCTACTAATTTATTTAATGAAAACGACAAGTAAAAGTCAATCAGAATTAACTTTTCAGGGAGGCAATGAATGCGAATATAGCCGGAACCGAACGCTTATTGGAATTAGCGAAGTCAATGAAGAATCTGAAGTTATTTGTGCACATATCTACGGTGTATGCCAACTGTGCACGAGATATTGCTGAAGAGAAGATCTATGAGTAAGTTTGGCAGAACCGTTACAGGATTCGACAGAGAAACTGAAGTAAAAATGACACTGCACTTGAAAAGGTATACAGAAAGATGTATGAACTGATCGATGGGTGCTCAGTTGCTCGATTACGGAGAAGTTGAGATAGCAGCTGTACGTTCCAAGGCAGTTAATAAAGAATATTTGAAGTGTTCCCCTAACTGTAGAAACAAAAATAGTCTTCAATAAATGTTGATAGCTCCTTTAATGCTTTAATCGCTGGTTCACCTTAAATATTGATTTCTGTGTGCTGACCTGTTTCAGATTTATATATCAAAGTTAATTTTGCTTGGAAAGTAGAATCTGACAAGCTTTTAAGCAAGTTATAAAGCTAACCCCGTATTTTCATGAACTGTTTTTATTAATTCATCGCCCCTTTAGTTTGCCCTGTTCTGTATCCGATCTATTTGCAATGGCAGCACACCTGAACGATGTGCAGATAACAGCGGTTGCGCCGTCCGTTTTAGGTGGTCAATTTCCCAACAGCTACACGTGTACAACAGCATGTGCAGAATGTATTGTCTACGAGTATCAAAACGAGCTTCCAGTTGTCATCGTACGACCGTCGATTGTTCTTGCCGCCTGGAAAGAGCCTCTCACTGCAAGTTCATCAATTCGATTAGGAACCTATATTAGTATTTTTATAAGGGAAAAACTTTTCAACTTATTGCTTTTACAAACGATACAAAGGTGGTAAATTTTGAGAGGCTTGACAATAGTGGTCGTTTTGTAGTAGAGAAATAAAAGTAAACAAACACCAGAATTAATGAGAAGTTTTAAGACCAACGACGTCGCTTATAAAATGTACAACATATTTATTGTTATTTTTTTTTTACGTGATCGCAATTTTCGTAGGGTTATAGCTACCTTTTATAAACTAATTGACAGCTTCCAGTGTACATTTTCCCACTATAAGAAATTGAAGAGGCTGCTCCAGAAGCCAGGAGTTCAAGTCCGATCACACAATATGTGTCAAATAAAAAAAAATTTTATCGAAATACATATTAGCGACTGTTTTTAAGTCACGCCGAATGTTTCCGAATATTCTGGCTAATACACAGAAAAAAAAAACCTTAACATAAAGTAATTCTTCCCCTAACAAAGAACGTACTCTAATAACGACACCCTTCACATGACTTTGAGCATGCTTGCATATTTGTACGACAAAACACAAACAAGTCCTAAATTAGTTGCCTCGACTGGCTAAAGCTGTATTGAGTTCTGCCTGCACAGCATTGGCTGGATAACACAAATGGTCCTTCAGGCCTTTTGATGGTAATCGGCCTTGACCTGCTACAAGTAGCACCGGCCACTTCATGTGACACATTTCCTGATTTTGTGTCACTGGATCTCGTTAGGAACTCCGTCATCGTCACAGCCAAGTACCGTGCTGATCTGGGATGAGTAGACGGTGTTATTTGCCTATGTAATAGTGTAATGGTGAAGTATGCGCTTTTAGATCTGACTGATGGGTGAGACGGTCCTGGCTAGAGGTAGGCCCTAGACACTTTGCATTTTGCGCTGGAAAAAATCAGCTGTCTGAAGCAATGCTTAGCCTGAACAGTGCGGGACGTAAATTCCGAAACACTTTCAGAGGATTTCATCTGAGATACGGAAATAGATGTTGTTTGCAAAATAAATTTTATAAAATAGCATATATGCATGTTGGAGCTCTTCCAAAGCATACGTCCCCATCTGCGTTCAAACGTTTGTTTCCTTTAATTCGCAGGGCCGATCAATACATACCTATCTACATAGTTACCATAATATTTGCATCACTTATATGTAACCTAGCAATAAATTCGAGGTAAATAAAAAGTAAAGATCAAGATTTGAAGCTCAGATATTCCCTAACAAATGTTTCCAATATCAAATTGCATAAACTGTACATGGCGCCGACACGGTGGCTCGGATAACCAAGCCGTAGATCGAAAGAGATAAACAGACAGTACTGCTCTTTTACATGTCGCCAATGACACATATATACTACACCGTTAAAGTGTGAATAATGAAAGTCACATATATTAATCGTGTATAACATTCGACTATTAGTATATGTAACATCGTGACATGTCCTTGGACGACTATACGGAGTGCCACCAAATATTGCTGCCTACCCTTAATCGGTAAATGGAAAATCTGGTAAGGACGCAGTGAAACATTTAACTACGTGAGCAGTAACGTACCGTTTTAGTACTGTCCATATGATCCTATCATATATAGCAATGCTAGCGCAGTTCCGGTTATTAGCGAGAGGGTGAAGCAGGGTTTGACCAGTTGGCAAATCTCGCCTAGGCGCCGCTAGCTATGTCGGGCTGAGCGTTTTCCAGGCGACAATTGGTCCTAAAAACCGCATCTCGTAGCGGCAAATGAAAGAAATATGCCTAAATTTGGCCCGAAGATTTCCCCTAATTCAAATGCTTCGATATCCTCGCATGGACATTGCAAGCTGTCAGCTACAATATAGGGTAGGCTGTTAAATATAACATTATAGAGATTTAAGTTTAAGTGCTATAATTCTGTTTGCTTAGATAAATACTTTTTCCATTATCGTATTACTAATACTAGTAGTACCTTATTATCGTTTACTATTATTCCCGAAAACGTGACTGGCCTCTATTTTCTGTGTAGTTTAATGTTCTGGAATTACCACGTTCCTGCTCAGCTAATCCATGTTGTCTTATCGCTTACGGGGAAACAGTTCAATGTAGTATGGAAATATCAACGCTTTGTGGACACCATTGAGATCTTTCATTTCTTCTACGTGCATGATTCGGAATTCAGGAACAGCAATACCAAACGTCTTTTTGCGTCTCTAAGCGAGATCGATCAATACGTACGCTTTATGCGGATGTAACTTCTTGTGCTATTTTTTACGATATAATTTATAGTTGGGTAAATCTCAATGGACAAATATATTAGTGACGAGTAACATATTGCGAAGAGATTTTGAATCTTTCATCCGAAATGCGTCAATCTTAACGTTCTTCACTATGAATTGTAAATTCTTGTTAACAATTCATTCAGTAACCTGCTAAATTATTATTTCACCCATTTAGTTAGCAATGCAAGTTCCTCAACATAGCTGGCAGCGTGGCTTCGGTGCAAAAAACCGCGTTCATGTAAAATCCATATGAAATGTAGGCCAACGTTTCTTTGCGCCCTCCAAAACTGGCCTGGCTTTGGTTTGCCAGTCATCACCCGTATTGTTTTGCTTGCATATACCCTTATATTTGCAACAGATAATTAAAATGCCGGGGTTAATAAAGACACATTCCGAAAACTATTTTTCGTTATTCCCCCCCCCCTCCCCCTTCCAGACTCAAGCTCCCAGAGCTGACACCCTGCTATTCAACAATATTTAAACTCCGCCATGTCAAACTGGTTGATGGGCCGGCAAAACTCATGCTAGTAATTTACGACGTACTTTACTAGGTTATGACCTACAAGATCTACAACATAAACTCAGGATTGAAACATTGACACGAAGCTTCCCGCATAGTGGTCTGTAACGTCGTATTTCTATATTACGCGTGAAAGCCAATGAAATACGGGCATGGTAGGCATGAAGTAGATGCTCATATGCGATGCTGCGTGATTAAAAATATCATCTATGAAAAAAAGGTTACGAAGTGCGGAAGCCAACCCGTCTTGTCACAAATAATAGAAATTTCCTAAGGCCAAAAGCCAAAGTATACAGCCCACCAGTGCTAACAAACAGTTTCGCAGTTGTGGCTATACAGCGGGCTGACATAGTCGAATAACTAAAATTATTATTTTTATTACAGTGAAGTACTTTTGTTTTATTGAAAATGTGGCCTGGAGCCATGTGGATGGTCAGCTTTTCCACACACGCAGACACACTCGACTGGGAGGTATACATCACGAGCTATCTGTTTGGCGTTCGCTATTTTTTAATGGACGGAGATCTCACAACCGTACCTGCCGCTCGGAAACGACTCGTTCTGTAGGTATTGTATTCATAGTTTTGCGATCGAAGGTCGACTCTAGGCTTGTGTCAAGCAGAAAAGAGAATTAATTTATTGAGACTGTTTAATGGCTAATACGATAGTAATGCGGGGTTCTTGTCTAAATAATCAGTGTATAAGACAGCCCTGTTAGCTGTACTGGTTCTAATATAAGACCAGACGAAAACAAGTTACACTTATTGGAAGTAAAGTAAATCATTTTTGCTATCGATTATTATGGAGCCACACGTTATCAATGCAGATAGAGGTCAAGACGTATTGATACGCTTTCTTCTTGTTTTTTTTTTGCTGGCAAGGTTACGCCCCGCCGACCTCATGTTTATACCGGCGACGCTATTTACTGGCTTGCTCGTGGCTCACGTCGCTTCCCTCTGTGGTGTGGCCAAATTTGCTGATTAGGTAAGTTTATCTGGACACACCTAAATGTATATCTATTGTTCGAATGCTTTGATGACTGCTATACCCTTACTAATGTATGTAAAGGCAAATATAGATATAACTGAGACTTAGATTGAAGCGTTTGCTCTGTATTACAAGCATTACTCGTAGTAATTTTCTAGTTAGTGACATTTTATTATAGTGCATCAGTTATGATATCTCCTTAACGTTATTCTTCTTCCGTTTGGTCTTCCATAGCAGCTGTGGATGGATGCTGCTACTCTGAAATTAGAGGCTACCGATTTTTGGAAAGTCATCACAAGATAGTTTGTATAAATGTAAACCATGAGTAATAATAACAATCATCCTTCTGAGAAATTATTTAGCTGTAGTAGGGTTGTTGATCATAAGCTGAGGTCGCCACCACAGGAACCACACCAGCAAAAACCGACCAGCTTTGACATATTAAATAGGCATTCGCAGTCTGGATGGAGAGAAGCACGAGGAGTTTTTTTTTGACGAACAGCTAGTTCGTTGGTAATGAAAAGACGAGATAAACTTTTGATGGAATAACAAAAACGCACGAGAACGGTCAACGTAACAAACACTTTTGTGTTTTTATCCGGATTCAATAACGTCATGTTGCAAACGTTTCGCTATGCGAATAACTAAAACTCTAAAAATAGTAACAAAAATCTAATAAAAAGCACTAATGTTGTTTTTAATACATTTTACTTGAGATTGAAACTACATTTTTTATGATGGTCGACGCAAAAATAAAGCAGTCGTAGCCAAGTTGTGGCACAAGACGTCACCCCACTAAACAAATCCATTTAACCAGACGCTTTATTATTTGTAACCCATCGATAACGAGCAAAAAACAAGTTTTTAGGCAGAATTTGTCCAATTCGTATGTCCTTATTGCTAGCCACATTTCTATCATCATACACATTGAGCATATTCCTCCGAAAACTCAATACTTTCAGTGAGCGCCCCGTAACGCTGTGTGCACCTCTTATCTTCAATATTATTTTTGTTTACGATAACAATGATAATTGTCTTCGGCACCTGCCGTTACTACTATTTATAACGCAATGGTCACAACTACGACTGGAAGACATCACGTCATTCGATTATTCAACACATTTATTCATTCATTTGATCACACAAAACATGCTGTCGTCCGGTCATGGCTATCGGCTCCATTTGTTGTATTTTAGAATCTTATCGACGTATTTCCTGTTCACTTTTACCTTATTGCTATTTGCTTATACTGTTTCCTCTCCGGATTCACAAACAAATCATCGTCGACTTAAGACAGATTATAAAGTGGATGCCGTTGGGTGGTCGACATGTGACTCGCATCGTGAATCGTGTAAAGGACGAGGCTAAAATTATGATGAGAAATCGCTCTTCATATATATCTATATACAAAATGATGCGCTTGTGGGCGTCAATGCCATACGAAATTGCTGCTCCACTTCAGAGTGGTTTTGCTGCGGCTTCTCGATAACGAGCAACAAAACATGCTGCCAAGGCATAGGGTAGCATCTTAATAATATTTGTGTACGTCGAGTCGTGCGCCTTTGACATAAGCCGATGTTATTATTTCACACTTACACAATGCACGCACCGGTCGAAGCGTTACCACAATAGGTAGAGTTTGACACGTGTGACTTCGATTTGGGCATCTAGTACTCACGTGGGGAGGTAGAAAAAACGAAAGGACCCACATTGATACAAAACTTTTATCCATTTACGTTTCGCATACACCAGCAGCTTCTCTTTAAACGCGTGATTACAATATTCCCTTTGCTAATATTAGTGGTATATGTAAATGTGTATAGTATATCGTATGAATGTATGTATATATTGTGTCCACAGACGTATCACTACAAAAAATCTTCCCTCTATCTCAGCTCATAGTACTCGGCTAAGAAGCGCTCTCTCTAAAAATCCCAATTTCAAACCGCTTAATCCTTCACTGTGTCATCCTTCGACTTTGAGAACGTCCTTTTTTCCAAAAGACACAAAAATTATCTACGTGTATAGGTGTGTCTACATCAAGTGTGTATGTGGATGTCTGTCTGTATTTGCTTCTGTATTGTATATATTTGTACGTACGCGTCTTTCGCACCATAACGAGGACGTTGATTTACTGCTGGAATATTAATAATAATAATAATAATTTTAAGATTGATATAATAATATTATAATAATAATGTCATTTTCTAACAATATTAATCATTATTCTCATTTAATATTGTCCAAAAAGTGACTCTTTGGCGATTACGAAAATCGTCGACCTCGAAGAATATGTAATTGATAGCGCTTGGTTGGCGAAAATCTTGTTTTTTCATCTAAATGTTTTTTTCTAGCATTATCTCACACTTCATAGAAAACCTACAGCTAGCCCACTCAACATTCCCTTCATCGAGACGATTTTCTTTCTGTTTTCAACGGTTGGTGCACATCGCTGCAGTGGTCGACACAAGACCTAAAAAAGCCCATCGTTACGTCTTCTATTGACCCCCTTTGCTCAGAGTAGCTAAAATCGCTTGACAATTAGTGTTTGTATTTTGGAGTTCTAACATCATTACAAAACAGTCAAAATTTGTTGAACCTACAGTGTACGACGTGCAGGTTCGTTCCAATGCTGCTTCTCCTATTAGGTCACACCCTATTCTCTCACAGTAGCTTTCGATTAGCTCCAAATAACGGTCTGTTTTTCTATAATATACGTTTATATCCCACCTATATTACTGCGAATTTAAATTCTCCAAAGCCACCGGCAATATTGTTATTAAACCTCACATCACATTTTACATATAACACTTATTCGATAACGCTTATTGATTTCAGTCCTAATTTGTGTTACAAAATGGTCACTTTTCACGCTATTTAAGTCAGAGATTGTGCCTTATTCTAAACTTTTTTTCATGCAAATGTGTTACATTTTTGTCATTTTTTGATAACGATGTTATCACATGTACTCGTTACATCATTTACGCTCGACTGGCATCGCCTCATAAATTTTAGGAAGAAAGATATCCCATCCTTTCCCAAGTACGCATTTACAAAAATATTTTTTAACGAAAAACCGTACCAGGATCGTTCTTACGCCATCGACATGTGTCCACGTTCGTTTTTTCCATGCGTTCTTTAAACACAATTTCCTGGCTACTCTCTCTTCTTTACCCATTCGAGCTAAATTTACAATGAAATACCACGGTGCTCTTAATTACATAGTAATCTCTACACATGATTCATGTCTCACACGGATTGAGATTTTCACTCGTAACTACTACTTCCGTACCTTGTTCTGTTAAATTTACCATGTTCACAAAACGACACGTTAATGTACGTCAACTCCGAGTCGTATACAAGATTGTCGTTTCCCTTATCGTCATAAACGGACGCCTTTTCCTTTCCCTTGTATATTTGTTTGGCGTTGCAGAGACTACATGAAGATCTTTCACAAAAGTGCCTCGCTATACAACACTTCTGAAGATCCGCGAAATAGTATCTGCCCAGAACTTGGATCCGGCATTTTTTAGATTCAAAGCCTAATGTCATCAATAAGAGCATAGTTAGAAATAAATTTGAAAATTTGCTCCTTCGAATAGATCAATGATCTCCTACTTATGCTAGCTAGTGCAAAAGACTATAAATATAGATAAAATGGCTGAAAATCAGGCGGATCCTATATCGAAGATGACCGTGAAACCGCAAAAGACATTTGGGTATTTTAAGATGTTTCGCAAACACGATTTAGAGAAACGCTAAACTCCAGCATAGTCAGTACGTCGTGACATGCATGCATGTAGCTTATAGAGGCTGGTTCGGGTTTTTTCTCACTTCGTGACCACGGCTATAGGTACCAACAGGATTCGACGATCCATCACATGATAACTTACGCCTTATCATATGCCTACCCCGTTCATTACATAATAGATTGAACACTCTACCCCCCGTATCAATTGCTCTATATCTATTGTATCTTCCTCGTATTAATAGTGCTATGACCATTTTCTAATGGGGTTCTTTGGTCTCTGGTCGTAAGCTGATCAATCAGCTCCTGCAGTGGAACCAGTTCTCGTCGGTCGATCAGACTGAACTCCTGTACGAAGAAGATAAAATGTTTGAACGATGTATTCAAATGGGCCTCTTCACCCAGCTGGACAACCTGAGCAAAGTGCTGGTGGTAGATATGGGCATAAACCTGCAACGCAGACATCAGGACAAATTGTTACCAACGTCTTAGCAGATGCGACTGACATAGTTAGATTGCTATGTATCAAAAAAACTTTGAAAATGGCTTCGTCGTTTTCCTGAATTTCTCTAAACATGAAGTACTTAAGCTACGACCAACGACATGTCTATTACGTCCTTTAACCAGACACCTAATGGTAATGTCTCCGCCCAAAGTAGCAAATGGAAAATCAACACATGTATCATGTTCTGACTTACCCTGAAGAGTCGCTTAAGGATTGTCTTGGCAATAGAAAGAAAGTTTTTAGGAAAAGGGACCCCGATTTTGGAAGGGAACAGACTCTCGTCGTCCAACTGATCTTGTACCTGTGAGATCCATTCAGAACAATAACATAGATTGTCATGAGCTTCTGTGGCTGTGGAGTACAGAACCTAGCATCGACTGAACATTTGCTGACGGTGAGGTACTGCGCATTCATCTAGCGCACTATATTCATCCAAACATTCAATGAAATTTACAATTATTATGCTAAAATGAAATTAAAGAAAAACTACAGAGACGGAAAAGGTCTACAGTTAAGTAAGACGTGAGTCGAAAGTTAAAAGGCAACTAGTTAGAAAAGACAATGCATTGAGTCTTTAAATAGATGTCAAATAGTAAGTTAAGTTTGCTTTTCCCTAATTGTAGGTATATTTGTTTTGTACCATAAGACAACTTTTGTTCTTCATTCATATATATATATATATATATATATATATATTCATCTTATAGGTACTCCAGTGTCCCTAGGAAATATGTTTGGGAATATGGAGAGCGGGGAAAGCCTCACCCTAATAATAATCGAATTCGAACACCTTCCAATTGTGTCCACAAATGGTGCGATTTACGTTGACAGAGCAATTAGATTTGTAGAAGCCCTCTGCGGATCGTATATATGCCCATTAGCGTTAGCATTAATACCTAATCATTACCGGGGTCTGCTGGAGAGCCTTATGTGACCCCTATCGACGCTCTAAACATGTGTGGCGTCGCTTGATTTCAGCAGGGTAATAATAGCAATATTCAAGCAGTGCTCGATTTACTTGCTCACGGATGCTTCAAGCTGTCGTATTAAATGTTATATGCTTAGCTTCTCCTGCGTGCCCGAAGCTGTGCCTCGTGCACAAACAGGAGGCACTCAGCATCAAGACCAAATTAAATTCAGCTCGATCCGTTTATGTGTTCTTCTTTAAAATTGTAATTGAATTCACTGAGGACATTAGAACACTCAATATTTAGTCAAACAATATTACACTTGAGAACGTACCGTGCCATTTTCAGATCTCTACTATACGTACCCAGGTCATTAGGTAGTCGATATACCGGGGAGCAGAGCATTTGATAGGTTTCTTTACCGTGGTTCCATCTGCCCAGTGATACTCATATTTCGGACCTGCCGACATTATGGGACATGTGTCTTCCCGACAAAACTCCGTGATAGTTCCATACAGCATGTTAATTTGGTTGAAGAAATCTACTGTATTTACGGCCACCTAATCGATGCAAAAAAAAGGATAGACAGCAGAACTTAATGATAAAATAATGTGGATATATTATTCATTGTAGCAGAGAGACTAGACATATATAGAAAAGTGAAAGGGTAGTCATATTTGGAAGGGCTGCTAAAAAATTGTGGATGAAATCTGCTTCTTTAGCAGAAACAGCAGTAGACTTTCTGTCACGTTCGTGAATCGGTGGACCCGCTCTACACACAATTCGTGCTAGTTTGTGATAATTATAAATGTTTCCGTATGAGATGGCAGATCAGACGAAAATTTTTTCTGATATTATCTCTAACTAATTGACTCGCAGCGGGTGTTTTCTATCTATAGTACATTAAATCATGCGGTCCGTATCTCGTCGGAAGGACTTTTACTACAGATACTTTCAAGGAAATTGCATCTTAGCATCCTAAGGCTCCTGGAGTTCAGTTGGTGAGTCTAGTTAATGTTCAATGAAGTTTCCAGGCCGTTTAAAAGGCAGCTACACGACCGGGGGTGTCTTCATAGGGGTTTCTTTTCAATAATAGATTTATTATTAGACACTATAGTTAATCTGTAGAACCTTCTTCTCCTAGTGAGCAGCTTGGTACTAAACTGCTGAAGCGGCCCCCAAACGTGGCTAAACGCTGCAATTAAGACCGTGTAATGGACAAACGGATAAATATAAACCTGATCTCGCTGCATTTTAGACCTTGTTCAATCTATTATTTATCAGTTTAAAGACAAGAGTTTAAATTGATGATAACCTTTGAATACAAGCTGAGCCCAATGAAACTCCAATTCCATACATCTTCATTGTGTACGAAATACAGAGCGAGGTGGCGGCTCGCGCCTTCATAGAGTCCGTGATGCTGTACGTACCATTTTACGAATATTTAGTACGATTACGAATAGTAAAATGAAGCAATCGAAAACTTCACAGTTAAATATCTTCAGGTGTCGCGGACTTCATTATTTGAATCACCGAATTCATCGGTTTGCGTTCGCTACTCTATTACAAACTCACCCATTCATTGAGATCTTCACCTTCGGGCAACATAACAGCCAAACGAAGGTTTCCACTTCCAAGCGTAGCCGCCGCTTGCTTCATCAACTCATACTGGTGCGTTCCTTCTGGTATATGTTTCTTCGGTTTAAAAGTCTTTGAAGAACGTCCACCGCTGAAAAATTCAAAGGAAACATAGTTTTGTTATGAATACGTTATGAAGCAGCCATCTTAGGCTAACTTAAGGCTCAGTGATCTAGCAATAGCTATCCAAGCAGAAGATTTACTACGACTATATTAGTAGTTTGGCACTAAGCATAATTAGAGTGGCCATATTATGCGACTCAGTAGCATTTTATACGTCATCATTCAACATGTTTCGGTCGTGCGCATATCGACTATTCGCACATCATGCTTATGCTATATATAACATACGAAGGATACACATGAAGTCCTCCAAGGAGCCACACGTACTTGCTAGTTTGTTCTACGTGACAAACTTCGACTAAGAGCGACCCTGCTTCTTGAGCCACTCTACTTAGTGGCATTTTTGCCTACCCCTAGAACGATTTGCAAGATTTCGTGATAGTTACCGAGACTGGCTTTGCGTCAAAATGCGGACGAATTTTCTTAACAACCAAGACATTTGATTGACTTAATCTTTAAGTACATCTCATTTGCGCACAATTATAACAATTCTTTTAACCCAAAAATAAACTGCGACTCTTGTACAGTTAAAACTGTCTCCGGACTATAGAGTTCTCGAATAGACGGTAAACTTAATGGAGATACTTGTATTAACAGTTAGATAGCAGTCAAGAAATGAAGTGCTAAAGATCCTTTTTTCTTTTTTTTGGGGCTCACCGCGTCATAATTTATAAATTACAATCTGGGACCCTACATCTGTATGTGTAGACCTCTAAAAAGATAGAAACACCGGTCCGACATTTTGTATCATAAGCCCTGTTTACATAAGTGCGTGCAGCCATAATCTCATTCAAGACAGAAATTGTTAAATCGACATGGATTGAAACGAGATTGCTTTCCATGAACTTTACAAACAGCCGAATTACTCACCCATAGTGCGTAGTTTGTCATCGATTGCAACAGATAATGTCGGACAATACAGCGTTCAAAGGAGTTCAATAACTCTTTGAGATTATATCACTTATCTACTACAAGTTAAATGTAACTGCCCATCCAGGGCACCTGCTGAGATGATTGGTGTAAACAGCCCGGACAATACTTTGTTTTGCAAAACCGAGCATTTTTACACGCACTGTCTTTTACATATATATATATATATATATTATAGTTCGACACGACAGACAGACCTACTCGGTGTGACACCGCTGTCGGTTGGACTTCTATACAAAAATTTGTGAGCAAGTTCTCTTAAGGACGTGAAAATGATACGACTTCAGGGATTGCAAACGTATGTGAAAAACATTGCAGGTTTATTTATTCGGAGTACACCTACGACGAACTCACTTCCCCTCCCCTTTGTGCCTCACTTCCAAAATTTAGAAATGTGAGAGAAGCCAATGCTTGCGATGCTAATTCTTTCTTTAAGTGAATATTGGCTTTATTATGGTTTGATAATAGAATATTGATAAAGGTGCTTGTTTGCAAAGAATATAACTAGGCTACGCCTTTACAGAGCACTATCTATAGCACTTTCTAACAAACATCACTGTTACTTGATCCTTATTGTTATGGTTCATGAGTAATTTTGCCTTTGAAATGCCAGTAGTCCTGCAATGTTATATGCGGTAATTCCTACTGCACCGTATGTTCAGTTTCTAATGAGTCCTGACATTATTACAATTGGCACGTAGGTAGATCTAGTCTATACAGATGAAGGCTGCGACCCAGAAACATCTAGTTTTATGTATTTTATAAACAGGAATGTTTGGCATGTATCACAATGGAACTTCATTGCAAATAGCAAAATATATACTTCAGATCGGCACAATTTCTGGCGTCATCTTGCAAGTTATGTCACTCAAAAACAGATATGACCCACGACCGGCTGTGACTTCCCGGAATGTTTACCGGAATCGTGTTTCCTTTTGGTATTCGTCTATTGGCACGATCGATACCAATTCAGGTAGACGTTGCAGCTTAAAAAAACGACTGTTAAAATGTCAATACAAAAAATGTTTGATGATTCAAACAGTCGTTTGATCAATGAATAAATCATGAATATCTGAATTGTCAAAAACTAGCCGCGTTAAGATACGCCCACATTCCGACTTTCGTCGAAAAAATCAATGAAAAATTAACTCGCTGGAAAAACATTACATTACAAAACACGTACAACATTATGGAATGCTTTTTCACTACTTTCCTGTGTCAGTTATTTTCCACTAATGAAAATCAAATGTGACTCGCTTAGCCAACGCTCGTATCCGTTCGCCTTGTTTTGTATTCAACCAGACTATATGGTTCTGTGGTAAAATTAAGACCTATGAGTCACTTTGCCATCATGAAAATGCCATGCAAATGAAGGCAAAAAAATATTCCTTTACTTTATTTGTACAACTATACGGCCGTACTCCGCGTAGTATCACTACGTAGAAAAAGTCGAAAGGCAAACACAATGGTAATATATGAACATGTTGATAGTAATCGTATTCACGACCGAAACCATGCCTCCCCCAGAATTCGCTCACCTATTACTAAAATGTTCAACTGCTTTAATAACAGTACCAATTAAATAATGTGACTAAATTGACAAACTATTGATAAGTAGATAGGCCTTTGGTGGTTTTTTCACTGTTCTACAACCATAGTAAAGACTGCAATGTGTGAAAAATAGAAGGTACATTAGAATTTCGAACAGCCTTAGTTCTAATTTTCTCTGATCATTTCAAGTATCTGCATACTGAAAACGGCTAGGCTGTCAATCATTTTACCCCAAAGAGAAAAACCCTTATTAGTTATGGATGCGTCTTGTAGCTTTGCAAGCGACCAAATCTCAGGATTCATTCACACAATAATGTTCTTATGGCTTAAACAATAACGCCCACTCATTTTCTCTCATCTTTCAGATGATTTCGCATGACATACGTTTTATGAAATTGCAAAATATTTTCTACCCTTTTTCCTAAGAGAAAAACTTTTCCATTGTTTAGTCCCTAGTCTAAATGAAACATAACTTATTCCTATCGTATCGCAACATCGTTCAAGTTATGAGTGAAATATTAGTTGTTTTAATTTCGGACACAGAACAATTCCATTTGTTTATTCACGTTCGAAAGTTTACAGTTCCAGCAGCTGCTGGTGCCTGCAGTGTGCATTCTGTTTGTCGGTCTCCACTTACAAGATGAAGCTCATGTTGTCTCAGGGGTTATCACCTATGGCCTACGGCACACTCAACCAAAAACAAGAGAAATTCACTACTTAGAATTTGCCTGCACGGCCTGCAAAAAACACCTAGCACAAAGCGAAATTTTCTCGAGTAACAGAAGTCCTTCTTTCTTCGTAGCTGTATTTTTTTATGTTCCGAGCACCCACACTTGTAACCAGACAACTGTTTTGCGCTTATTCGCCAACCTGCCTCGGCCCAAAGTGTAAGGGATTGGAATTTACGCCGTCGGCCACAAGTGCACCCGGAAACTGCTCGCATGGTTTAGGAAATTTTCGTCAAATTTTACCTATTTCCTGTGATTTTCGTTGTTTAGTATATGAACGCATGCTTCAGCCTGAAGGTGATTTCTTTATTTTTATAAAATCAAGCGCCGCATTCTGATATCCTAACGGGAAAAGTGGCTTTAGGCGACGGGCACATCCGGGCGTCTGGTGCCGAGTGGCTGGCGCGTACGGCGTCTCTTTCGGGGACCACTGTAGTTGTGTGTTTGATAGCACGCTGCTAGTTTGAGTGACCACCGTTTTAGCACCTATCGACGCTACCTTTCTGATTTCCTGTAAGTTTTTTATGGACACAGTTGACTTGTTCGAATACCTGTGTACGTTAGTGATTTTTCACGAACTGTGAATATGACTAAAATTTCAGCGCAGTTCCATCATCCATAGTTTTGCCGTCGGCGTAGGCCTATACATGGATATATTTGGCTAAGATGCTGGTACAAAAAATATCATCGCCTGAGCAGCACGATACGTCAGCATATCGGTATTTTTCGTTTCGCTATTGTGAGGTCGAGGGCTGAAGGCGAACCACCCGATAATTTTTTGCTTGGTGCGCCTATCTCTGCAGTAGTGTTATTGATAGCAGTCGTCAACCCAACGTGTTCATATTAAAGAGCTCTGTTGAACGTTTGGTTTTTCGGTTCGGCCAACGCCTCAAGGGACATCGTGGTCGTGCCACCCGCATCGTATAGTGGGGAGGTACACCGCACCTATGTCACTCCTACACGTACCGTTCGCTAATGCCTTATAAGTGACACTTACTGACTTTTTGGCTGCTTTTTGGAGACTGGAGTCTCCAAGTATTTAAGCCTTTTAGACGGCAGTCACCATGATGATTCGCATGGCGGACGACCTGCGGCAAACCGTGTCGGGTGGCGCCTTTCTAAAGCTTGGTCGAGTTTGACGAAATTTTTGACGGGCCTATGTTCCTTATAGACCCTCTTTTTATATGAATATTTTAAATTAGTACTGGGTTTGCAGGTAGTATCACTGCAGACACCTAGGGCCATCAGTTGATCAGCTGCACTTTACGTTAGTTTTCCATTTATAGTTCGGAAAAACACCAACTGTGGCTGTACCGCGTAGATGGTGATTCCTTATAGCCGATCCTGTTGCGGTCGAAGTCGGCAGAAATTAAGTTGGACAGCGCTGGGGGTCATGGGGTGAACGCATTGCATTATTTATGTTTAGCTTTATGGACTTGCTTGTTTAGCGGCCTCCGCCCTTCTGTAAGCCGGTTTTCGGGTTCTGCATATATGATCTGGATGGTCGGAGTTCTGCTGGCCGGATCTCCTGCTAAACAACTGCGAAGCTGTAAGTTAAGGAACGTCTTACTAGCCCAAGCGATATTATCTGTAAGGGTCAAACAAAGTACGAGATTAAATTGCTGCTGGCAATGAAAATTTGCCTGAAAGAAAAGCATTCATATGTGCTTTTGGATGTGGACAAGGCTTAATACTCAATACGGTAGTTCTCTAATAGTTTCATATTTACGGAGTTTTAAGTGTTGGTAATGTTTAATGAACCCTAATGGTAGCCATTGAGGTTGGGTAGGTTATATAAGACCACCAAAAATTATTCAGTGAAGTGAAACTTTATGTAAATGTGGAGAAAGCAGCAAGAGCTACGCACGTTGTTGAGACAATTGACAATGAAACGTAACAGCCTTCATTAACACTGAATTGAAAGATTTCATATAAATAGCTATATTGGCTTTAATAGGTTACCAGTGGTGGGTGGTATAGCATTTTATGCGAATAGTCAATGTTTTAATGATGAACAGTTCTATGGCAAATAATGTATTGCGTAATAGTACCTTTACTGACGGGAGTATCGTCTAACGATTAATCACCAGTTTCTGCGTTTCAGTCTATTTACAGTGACCTCCACATTTACGTATTTTGAGACGGAGATACGGCCGGAAAAATCTGCTTAAAATGTCTGAGACCGGCGAGAATTTGGATACGATTGTGCGTCTTCGGGGTATGCCATGGAGCGCTACTGTTGACGAAGTAATCAACTTTCTTGGCTGCGATGTAAACGTTTCGGGTAGGCGTTGATCCAGATACAATGATAACGAAGTATTTAACAGATATAATAACAGCGTGGACAGGTGATAAAATTATCACTAAATATAACTAAGACAGTGATGATAGCTTAAGCAAATGAAATGGCGATGGTGTAGAAGACATCGAGGCATTATCGCTAAAACATAACATCTAAAACTTAATATGCAGTATTGCAATCTGTCTCACAACACGCAATATATATATACATGGCTGATTATTTTTTGATGGTCGGGCTTGCCTCAAGGATACAACTTAATGGTATAAACGCTACGTCCGGAAAGCTTATGTTTAAATATTAAGAGGGTTTTCCGAAAGTTCTAAATTTCACAACGCCGTTGAGATAACTATGTTTGCGTCATGCGGTAAGAAAAATGGTATTTATCGATTGCTATATTTTTAAGAAATGAAAATACAAAGATAAATGGTCAATTGCGACACATTTAGAAAATCGCTTAGAAGAAAGGCTAAGAAAAGTTATTGGTTCAGTCACGAGGGTTCCAGCAAACGTAATGCGTTTTCGTATAGTGAAATGTTCTGTATTAAGTGGCGATGTTAAGGGGATTGGTGTACTTTGTGATACACCGAGTCACCTGGAATACTCACTCGTCTTAAGAGGTATAGGTGCGTGTTGTAGACATGCTCGTTTATCCAGGTCGTACGTGACATACTAAAGCGTTCGTAAGCAATCTCATACCGAGTGGTCACAACCATCTCGTTCTGGTATCTAAGCAAAAATAATTAAAATAAGATGCATTATTAATACTACTATAAATTTGTAATAGACAATATTGGGCTAGCATGATCGGTCCTTTTTTAGCTGCAACCTTAGGTTTTGTCGTTCAGTCAGTATCTTCCTGTATTATTTTAGCGCTTAGATCTCAAACGTTATACTACATATTTTTCTGCTCTAAGAATTAAGTGTACCTTCCCTGAACTCGAAAGAACAGCATAAAGGCTCTGATCTCCTGCACAGTTCTTGTTTCTTCAATCGGGCTATTCATCGGTTATTCTTCTCTGGTAATGTTCAGTTTTGCCTGGCCTATAAAATATACACGGAAGTAAGACCGCTTATAGCCTGCCCTCGTTAATGTCAAACGAAAGTTTGTTTTAAGATGTTGAACTTGTCTTGCCCATTGTTATGATTTCTACGTATTCTCATGCACATCCTAGGTGGGAAGGAGGGTGTTCACTTTACATACACTCGTGATGGTCGGGCGTCCGGTGAAGCTTACGTGGAACTCGTTGCCGAGGAAGATGTTGAGAATGCACTCAAGAAAAGTAACGAAAATATGGGCAGCCGGTAAGGATAAAAGCATACGAAAAGTAGAAACACAAATACACTATAGCAATAAGAAAGACTGCGTTCTAGATAGATTATGAAGAACAGAAAAAGCTCCTTAGTCGATTTTGCTCTGTTTACCCTCAAAAGGTACCCGCAGTTTCACCTTAAATACCTAGAGAGATTATCTTCTAAGGGTGTGTCTGTTCAGTGAAAAATCTCGGGCCCACTTTGTTCGTTTCAACGTTTTATAAGCGCACAGTTGATCTTATAAGTGGTGCTTTAATTTGGCAACTTGGTATATCTGGAAGTCTAAATATATCAGCTCAGGAACTGAGGGAACTGCTATAAACTTCAGGTACATTGAGGTGTTTCGCGCGAAGCGTGCCGAAATGGACTGGTGTGTTAAGAAAAATTCGTCGAATGCGCTTGATGAGGGTATAGTGCGCCTCCGCGGCATTCCGTTCGGCTGTTCAAAAGAAGAAATCGCTAATTTCTTCTCTGGTAAGTGCATCTGATTATAACACATTCCCTGGTGTTACTACATAGTCGGTGTTTCATAAAGTAAACACCACTTTTATTCCCTGCGTAAAGATCGCCACCACTACATTTCCCACTAAATTCCACGAAAAAGACTCTGCTGAGCTTGTTACAACAATCTTCTTGACGTGTATCGTTCCGCAATTGTGCACCTATGAGGAACTGGTTGAGCTGTTTGCGTTATTGTTGGAGTAGCTTTGATTATTGATGGTGCGTAGAGAATGCCAGCTATTTCAAGCGAACCATATCACCTAATGGTAATCGAGATTCTCAGAGGCGATAACCTGTCGAGCGTCCATGCAAATGCGAGCTTCTGCACACCGTAGGATTCGGTGTGGTTTAGGACTTGTTTACTAAACTGAATATCATTACCTGGCGAAACTACCTAGTGGCGTTGTCTGACGCCATTATGGACCTATCAGGTGCAATGTGTCACACTCGGACAAGGAGATTCAATTGATTGTTGGATCATGACTAACATACGATTGAATTTAGCCATACCCCTATCGACATTAAGCATGTTCTGAAACGGAAAAATCAGCTGTTCATTAGTGGAGGCAAATTCAGTAAGGTCTTAGTATTAAGAATTTTGATAAAAGTAACGCGACCTTAGGGCGCTGTGCATGCAAATAATGGATAGCTAAGATTACAACTAGATGGGGCAAACGTGCTGTTATAAGGAAAAAACGGGAAACATTTTGTGGGAGAATAGATTTTATAAAAGTTCAAAGCGCAATAGTATTGCCCGTAGATTAATTATAAAATTGTTAAGTAATGTAAAATATCACTAGGTAATTAAACTGAGAGTCCTTCGATTCTTTCCAAGATCCTTCTATGCCATGTTTAAAGAGGAGTTGTCCATGTGCATTACCGTGAATCGAAGTATTCTTTTAACACTTACTTTGTTGGAAATTCGATTAAGTCAAATCCAGCTACTCTTTCAGTTGTATTTTTCAAACTTGAAATTCATCTTTAGCTCGGCTACTGTGGGATGGTTTTTCGTCATGCGCAAGTGGATAATCCGAAAGATATCGAGGGACCTCAGTAAGGGGCATCTCTATCTGGGGATAAGTGCGTAGTGGTTCAAAAGATGCATGCGAACTATTCTTGCGTGTTACTTCGTTCCTTTTACTGAACCTAATTCAACTAGAATTTCCAGGGACTGGTTTAAATACGAACTTTCTACCAGGTAATGGAATCAGCATGGTAAAGCAGCAAACGGGACAAGTATACCGAGACACAACTTTTGGAAATCACCTCTTTGATGAGCCTTTTTATTGGTAGAAGGATCAACTTGTTGTTATCAGACTACGTGCCTGTCATGGGTGTAATGACTACAAACGATGCTCATCTTACTAAGGGATCATGAGGAAATTATTTACTGAATCTTGCATTAAATCTTCGACATTAGTCAAACCAATGTGCGACAGATTTTTCACTTCTGTGTTGTAGAGAATATTAAGTAGATGTTTCAAGTTAAGCGTCCGGTTACCCCTTGACATTCAAACGCATTCTAACGACTGGCGGCACCTAGCACAAAACAAGCCGCGTGTTTACGCCCAGTTTTGAACCTAAACGTTCTTATTGCACTGGAAGCTCTCCAGCCTAGGGCTAGTCGAACTGTAAATGACTTCGAGGAAGGGGAATTATTGATATTGGTGGTCTTATGGTGCTATACTCACGTTGAAGTTTCAAATTTAAGATTTTGTACCGTTTCAACTAGAAAATAGGTTCAAGAGACAATAACAAAATACCACGTACAACTCACGAAGTTCATTAAACGCAAAACTATGTAAGGCATTGGGATTTAATAACGTTATCTTGCTGTCGTTTTGGCCTGACATACAAAGACATTTTTAATCATTATAGATTTATCCAAACGATCGTATTCGAATACGTTCGAACTTCAATAGACCGGGACGAAAATTGAGAATTATTTTTAAAGCTTTAGTTGTGTTTGAAACTGCGAAGTTTGAATTTCCCGCCAAATGATGTCGGCTTCTTCTGCTGGTTCTATTGGCGACGAGCTTTATCGACATAAAAAGACAACTGAAAGATTTCTGCTTGTCGATGGTACGCTGATAGCGCGAAAAATCAAACGAGCAAGAGAAGTCTAGCAAGAATTGCTATTCGAGACTCGCTCGAGAATCAACACTATCGAGCTCTGGGGCTCGATTAACTGCAGCCACTGGGCTGAAAAATGGGTCGGCTGGTGGTAACAGACAGGTTGTCTTATTGTGGTTGTTTGTGACTTGTTGGGTTTGCTGTTGTAGGGTTGGAAATAGTGGCGAATGGTATAGTCATTCCGGTGGATTTCAATGGGAGGACAGCGGGCGATGCATACGTTCAGTTCGCAACGAAGGAGGCAGCCGAGAAGGCTCTCGAAAAGCACAAAGAGCGTATCGGGCACAGGTGGGTAGACTAGTTGGCGAGCGTCGAGAAAACAACATATGGAGAAATGCAAGGCAGGGTATCTCGGCCCCACTTCCGGGCAAACAAATGAGACATTATGAGACTAACAGGGTAAAATAATTGATCATACCGCTTCGTAATCGATGGGTGATTTGATGATGTGACACGTGGCGCCAGCTATGGTTGATTTTCTGAGCAAGAAGGTTAGGTTTCAATAGGTGAAACTAGAGAGAGCAACAAAATGGAATCGGTGGCGGAACGTCGAACAACGGGAGCAACAGCTACATCTTTAGCACTATTCGGTAACCAGGGATCTCGCTACAGGGTAAAAAGGCTAGGGTCTCGACCTCGTCGTCATAGATATCGCGACAGGCGACGCGCCGCGCCACCTGTGAGACAGATGGGCGAAACGGGAAACTGCGTGTGGTGTATGTGTGTTTGCATGCTGTACGTGTTTGTGAACGCGTGAAGATCGAATGAAGATCATCGAAGAACGGGAAAAAGAAGTGGGAACAGAGCGACGAGGAACGGTGAGAACCTGGCGTTCCTCTTGCACCGTCTGGTAGAGAGACGTTCTCTAGCGTCAAGTCTACCACGCTCTGACTAGCTGACTGACAGCGGGGTTTGCTCTATACGGTAGCTCATGACACGAAGGATTCTTGGTCGTAGGGTGTGGTGAAGATTGGTTGAAGAAGCCGTAACGCAAGGCGAACGCCAGACAACAATCGACAAGTAGATCGAAGTGTGCGTCCACTAACCAATAATTATCAGGTGTTTTGGGATAGGCCAATCCGAGGTGGCTTGGTGGGTTTGTTGAAGGTCGCACGGGTTGAACGAGAGACAGCGGTTACAGACAGCAACAGAAATGATGGATCTTCTGGCAGACTGGAAGGGGAGAAATTTAATTGGCATCGCCGGGGGAGGCGCGGTGCTTTCGTACTGGTATTGCCACAACAGTCCCGAGCCAGGTACTATGTCCAGGTGTGGGCGTAGTAAACGACTCGCAGCGAAGCGTCACCGGCTGGTACAGCATGCCGGCTCAGGTAGGGCTATTTTAGCGATGTCGTGTGAGCGGAACGGGAGGACGGTCCATGGTAAAAATGTCTAAAAAGCATCTAACACGTTGCCGTTGTTGTTGCTGTCTCGTAAATGTATGACGGTAAAGACTGGCGTAGGTATCAGTAATGAGGCCGTGGATACTTTTCAACGATATTTACGAGAATCATTTAAGGAAGTTTCACAAAATTAGCGCTAACTAAAATATCAATGGAATGCGTGACAATTACATACGCATGCTGTTCACAGACGCATTTTTAGAACTACAAAATCGTAAGGATTTGGTGCTTGGTTTTATTTTTTTGGTGAAATTGAGACAACTACCTGTGAGTTTGGAGCACATATTCGGTTTTGAATTTGATTGCTTTCAAAATTTATTTCGTTTTCATATCTGATGTTGGAACTCGAATGGTGATAATTTTTTTGCCTTTGCAAAGTGACCATCATGGTAAAAGAGCAATTCTGTTAGTGGATCAGTTGTGAATATAAAATTATATAAGACCATATATATACTTTTTTTCTCAGATGTGTGTGATGCACGACACGCAGGCTACGCTAGTGCGAAATCTGGTATCATTTATCATAAGTTTTTTGAAAATAACATTGTGTTGCACTAGATAAATTAATGATGCAATGTAAAAATATCGGACTGCTTATATGAGAATAAAGGAAGTTCTATTTAGTTTTCAGATTAATATGCTTTCATAGATAAGAGGATGCACATGTAAATCGCACGTGTATTTTACATGTGCCAGCTTATATTCAGCCTCACTGCAGACGTTCCTTATATTTCGTATGTCAGAATACAGCATAACCGTTAATGTTTCGTTACCTTAATGTCAATTCACTACAGGTATATCGAGATTTTTAAATCCAGTCTGAGTGAGATGGAGAGCTCTTTGAATGCCTCAATGCGACCCTTTACACAAGGTTTCGGCGGGCGTAATTTTGGTGGCCCGGCTCCTCGTGGCGGACGACCAGGTCCCTACGATCGCATGATGGGCAGAGGACCCCCACCGCCGCGACCTCGTGATGATGGCTATGGAGGAGGTAAGCGACGCTTTTTATCAACGCTCGATAGTTCCTACCGCAACTTTCACTTCCAGCATCCTAGCAAAACTTTAACTAGAAGCTTTAATGCTCTTAAAAAAGCACGCGTCGTGATTCATTGAATTCGGCTGTTCCTCAAAATACCGAAGAGGAAAGAAGGGTTTTTGTCGTGGAAGACAGGCGTCTGGGTTACATTCTAATATTTGAGATAGTTGTTTTTTTATTGAATTGGCACGTATCTGAGAGAATTTATTATTTTTATTAAACAGCTGAAGGAGTATCTCAGTCGCTGAGTACTATTGGCTATTTCTCTATCTCTGTGTGCTTTGTGTCAGCAGGTTACGACGATTACGGATACGGAGGCGGACGCAGTCGGGGAGGGAAGTCCGGCTCGGCGTTTGGTGCTGGCGGCCACACTCATGGTCACGGTCATTTGGTGCACATGCGTGGCATCCCCTACAAAGCAACAGAAGCGGATGTCTACGATTTTTTCTCACCGCTTCGCCCCATCAGCATTCAATTTGTGTATGAGGTTGGAGGTCGACCCTCGGGCGAATGCGATGTCGAGTTCGCTACACATAGAGATGCGACTGACGCTATGGTCAAAAATAATGCGCACATGGGCACACGCTACGTTGAGTTGTTCCTCAAGAGCAGTCCCTCGGTGGGCAATAAGGGACACCATGGAAATGGACAAGGACATCATGGTAAGTCGACTGTTTGACAGGTCCGATTTTAGCTCCAGATGTAGCTAGAAAATGTATTATTAGCTGACACATGAACCTGTCTGCGTAGAGACTGGTTTCGCAACCCCGGCGTAAACGTTAGGTTAAATTTTGCCGGTTGTTCAGTAGTCAGCCGTTAGACGAAATGTTGTTTCTATTAAGGTATTATTCGACGGATTTATTTAGACGTCTTCTGAGTAAGCCATTTAGATGAGCGCACCATCAATTAGGGTCCTCTTTTTGTAGTTACATTGTAGAAAAATACTGAAATGACAACGACACAGAGATATCCCTCCCCTTTCTTTTCTAATTAACAAAATTTAATAAAAATTATATAAGCTTTCCTGCGTAGCTAAAGGGACTCAACGTCCTAATTTAAGAAGCAGGAGTCGGACTTCTCGTTCGCGGAACTTTATCGTCACTATCTAATTCCAAACTTGCAAACGAAACGAGCTTAGAATTGGAATAGAATCAGCCGTTTGAAAATTTAATTTTCCAAAGGGAGAAAGCGCCTTGCATTTATTTGTAGACTAGTGTAACACAGATTGATTAGTTGTCTGTGCCTCGGTAATATTTCTGTTATCTTGCGCGTATAAGTATATGTATGCGCATATCATTTTTATCTTATTTAGTACAGAACCGCTTCGGTTATTATAACCTGTACTCTCTACCTTACGCTCCTTTGCTCGATCGATGTTTCGCTAGTCTGCTCTGTATTTTGTCTCTTTGTTGTTTCTTTGCGGGAGCAGCGTAAATGGGGCAGCGTAGACGAGGGTAACGCGACATTGAGCCGAGGGCACAATAATTTTATCCGGCAAGAGACTAGGGGAATATTTAACCGGGCGACAGGTCTAAACATAGAAAATTAACTATTAGTTTTCTATTGACTCTTCTAACTATAAATTGCGTCTAACATGACGTGGGAATTTATATTGTCTGCTAACGACAATAACAGTGACTACATGACGATGACACAGTTTACAGATTATGTCCAGCTAGTATTATAAATACCTTTATAACCATTGATAAACCTATAATATAATAAGCGTTACAATATCGTTCAATATCATTGTGTATTTACAGTACACAAGTTTTATCTAATGGGTGACACTGATGAAGGATGCTACACTGTTTCGTTTATCCAATGATCTGTCAATAACAGCTTGTAGAAACATTGTCAAGTTTTTTCACTATTTTTTTTTGAAATTCAAAATTCAAAAATAAAACCAAATAAAAAATGCAAAAAAAACTAAATAATAAAAGAATAATAAAAAATACGAAAAATAGAGATGTAATGTTTGGCAGTGACGAAGGAAAACGGCAACAAACCTCTTTCTTTTGTTACTAAAACATCATTCCATCGTTAAATTACAATTGTGTGTATGTTTGTTATATTATTATTATATATTATGAATGAATTTGCGGAATTCCTATTAACTCGCCATGGAAATTTTCCATAACATTTATAAAAAAGGGAGTAGATGAACGTACAGCCATTTTTAAACTCTCTAACTGATTATTGTACTTGTCCTTGTTTATTCGCTATAGGCAGTGGTGATTATTGCTAACCAAATCAAAAAGGAAAAAGTCTGCCAGAACTCTCTGTTGGCCATCTAGTACATAGGTAATCGAGCACAAGCTCAGTCGAACAATAAATGTTAAGCTAAAAATAAGAAATACAAAGCTAAACCAACGCGAAAAACGAAAGCATATAATTTTTTATTGTTCAGTTAGTCCCAGGATATTACAGCCGAGAACTAGCTTTCACACCATAATGACAGTATTAGATGGGAAAATGTTCACAAAACTTTCGTCTTTCTTTAGAATTCTTTGCTCTAGAATAGATTCGTACAATACCGACTTATCCCATACAATTAAATGTCATTGCTCTTCCCAGTACTAAGAAAAAAGTGCGCTTACCTCTAATATTTGTTGTTCTTCATGAATTACTTCACTATTTCCAGGCGGTTATTATTCTAACGACTATGATGATTACGGTTATGGAGGAACAAACACCGGCTTCCGCAGTGGCGGGGGAGGTCATGGTCACAGTGGGGGTCACGGAAGCCGTAATGGTGGAGGTCCCGGTGGATTTGGCGTAGGGCCGGTCGGGGGCCATTTCGTGCATATGAGGGGACTTCCGTACAAGGCCAGTGATGAAAATGTCTATCAGTTCTTTGAACCCATCCGACCAATCGATGTCCGCTTTATCGTTGATGCTTCGGGCCGACCCTCAGGCGAATGCGATGTTGAGTTCGCATCTCATCGTGATGCCCAGGAGGCGATGAGCCGTAATAATGCGCACATGGGCAATCGATATGTCGAACTATTCCTTAAGAGCGCCCCCTCGGTGAAGGGTGGCTTTGGCAACGGTACACCAAGCCACGGTTGGTTCCCAGAAAGGACATATTGTAAGCGTTTGGTTACGTCCAATTAATAATTAGCTGATTTATATCATTGTGCGTGTATCTATTCGCTATCCATAATATATAATAGATATTCTATGTCAAATAATTTAATTTCAACAAATCAAATAATTACTGTTACGATCTGTCCTACCTTGCTTGTTTGTCGGAGTACAAAGAACGGTTTTTGTTTTCAACAATAACGAGGTGCAAACTGCTTTCCCTTGCAGTGCCATCATATTCGACAAACGACTATTGATCACTCAGTGACGAGTCAACGTAATACAGCGTAAACGCTTGTGAAACACAATATATTATTAGGGCGGGCGGTAAGGAGATGTTTGATGATTTTGTCGAAAATGTGAAAAACTGCAACCGAAAATAGAGTAATAACCTGAAAAGTCATTACTAATATTAGGCAGGCAAAGAAAGCAAACTTAATTAAGTTTGACATTCATCATATAATAATGAAAACAACAGAAGTATCATATAAACATTATAATGCACGACGGACAATGACAGTCGAAAAAATAGCAAAGAAAAAGGTTAAATGCACACCACACACACACACACACACACACACACACACACACACACACACACACACACACACACACACACACACACACACACACACACACACACACACACACACACACACACACACACACACACACACACACACACACACACACACACACACACACACACACACACACACACACACACACACACACACACACACACACACACACACACACACACACACACACACGCACACACACGCACCACACGCACACACACGCACACACATACACCACACGCACACACACACACACACACACAGGAACATAATGAGCGAGAGAAAAAAAGATCAATTTTGAAACGCGTCCTAAGATGGGCAAGCAAGCCACTCATCATATACAGATTAATATGAAGATAAACAATACCATTAACAACCAGAACATATTATTACTATTAATATTGCTATGAATTAATTACTATTATATAATGAATACAAAAAGTAACGTATATATATATATATATATAATATGCGTATATTCCTATACGAACACACATGGGAAAATAAGCCATGTTTTGGAGGAAGGAATGGGGTAAATCAAGCATGCAGTTATTGTAAACGCAAGCATACAAGACCATAGTATAAGTGTCCTCCACGGGTCATATCGCGCGCTTAGGCAGGCGCAAACGCAACAACTAAACAAATATAGTAAAAGCAGAAAAAAATAAGACGATCACGATAAAGAGTATCATACTCTTTGACGCGATAATAACAACAATAACAACGACAAAAACGTCACGAGCCATTATGGCATTCATTCACTTACTTCACTCACAGAACAAAAGTAGAAAGGTGCAGCTGCGACAGTAACATTTACACACAAGCAAAGAATAGGAAAGAGAGTAATGAAAACTTTAACAGGTCCCACAAAACAAGCGCCACGCTCGTCATCTATATTGTATATCCATCTCTTCATATAATAACAATAAAGAATTGTGCTGTACATCAGTTCCTATCAAATTCCGCGTACTGCTTTCATGTATTGCTTAACTTCAGCATTGTCACTGTTGCGCTGCAAACGGATTAATAAAAAAAAAAGTGACCTAAAAGCGTGCACAAAGCTTTGGTCCTCTCCTCAGTGGTGGTAAACAGGCGAGGGCTAGCAGAATGTCGAGCGATAAACACAACAGCATGTGGCTCAAGAAGATATCTACTTGTTTATTTCGATAATAAAATGTTATCAAGATCGCTGTGTTGTTTTAATCTGGTAATAACAAAGAGTTCCAAAAAACGTTATATATCTGATTAGTATGAAAGGCATGTCTATCTTGTAATATGCATGCAAATGTTCAAAACAACAGCTCAGCAGAGTTTGAGCTAAAAGTTTCAGAAAATTTGCCAAATAAAGTATCACGAATTTGAAGCTGTCACAAACAATATTATAGTCTGATTATATGATATCATTATGTATCATTAGTACAGTTATTTGCCTGTTTGATATTGGAAGATCGAAGTAGACGATCAGCAGGTTATACCGGCGGATTACGCCCTAGTGCGCCCTGATCTGGTCTGAACTGTGATTACGTAATTGCTAATCTCAGGAATTAGAGAGTGGCGTGAGATGGTCGATAAGGATCGCATTCTATCTGAGCATGTTACAAAATTTACCAGAAGTTTGCCATGACAGGGCAACTCTGAAGCTGCCGATTTGTACGGTATTTATTTATTGTTTGATCTTGTAAAATTATTGTTTGCGTGTTTTCTATTAGGGTGGGTTGAAACCTCAAACCCATATAAAGGACGCGCTAAATGCCTCCGAAATGAAGAATAACTTTTGTTTTTGAACTATCAGCATCACAGTTCTTCTGATTCTTCCATTTTGCAAACTAATGCGGGCTTCGATGTTTGAAAAAAGTTCGATTTAAATTTTGATTGCATAACAACTGAGCCCGGTCACTTTCGTGTGTGGTTATTCGCCTGAGCGCTCTTTCGAGTTACATGTGGTCAGCTCTGTTACATTGACGCGCCTATCGTGTGTCGCGTAAAACGGTGAGCTGTACCGAAGTTTTTGAGATGAAGCTTGAAATGAAACCATCGCTGCACGCTCAAAGACACGATGTCTGCCTTATGCTGTACCTTACTGCACGATTCTTATGCGAAGAAAAAAACTGCTTTTGACACCGGCCCAACGTTGGCCGTCATTATGAATTAGTTTCACATAGCTGTAAAGTTTATGCAGCATTTTTTTAAAACTTTTCTAATTATCGCAAGTGATGCCGCTCTTTAACTGAACGACCATCAAAAATGTTTCTGCACTGTATTCGCCTGCGAACGGCTTCTTCCCAGTCTCAGCATACGCTATAACACTGTCATAACCAAAGGTCTGAACTGAACCCCAGTAATTTTTCAGTGCATTGCCATATGACACTTGTGAATACGGCCTATAAGTAAGCAAATCAGTATCTACCACTAATTAGATGAGATAATTTATAGGTTGATATAAAATCAGTAAACCATTAAGTAAAAAGAGGCACAGGTTGATGAAGGATGAGAGCCTGTTTTTTACAGTTTATTTAACGGTTTACTTTTATCAGACCACATCGTCAGGCATCATCGGCCTCTACATGTCACAGTTAAGATTCTATACGTCGGCAAAGTTATAACAGTAGTAGTAATAATGGTTAACATTTAGGGTCGTGCATGGCGTAGCGCCTAGGCTGGCGGTACAGCATTGCACAAGACATGACCTCCCGCTCGGATAAACTCGGATCTTTGAGCTGATTAGAACGAGCTACACCAAAAGACGTGTGCTACTACTATACGACTATCTGTGTTGTTGTTTGTTTCGGGGCATGTGACCGTATAATGCTGCTAGATACTTATGAAATCGCTACCGGCAGTTGCCATTACACATTTATATGTATTATTAAATATATAATAACTATTTGGAAAATTTCATATCGTATAACATTAGTAAAAAGTAAGTCAAAAAAGTGACAAAAATGCGTTGTTTTTTTTAAAAAGCCACTCTGGTAACACTGTATTAATGTAAGAAAATACATCCTTAAGTTTATACTTTTTAAAATTTTTAGAAAATTAATAGAAAAATATCCGTTATGTCAACTGTTGGTAGTCATAACGAGCAAAATTACATCTTATCGAAAATAAAAAGACATGAAATATTTTTATCAATTTATTAAAATATAGCCCAGAGGTGTTTGCCCGCCACAAAACCTTGTCGGTTGAATTTTAGAGCGAATAGTTTATCAGCAACCGCCGTCATTTAATTTTTGCAGCTGAGTAAAGGTAATGTTTATCTACTTATCGGCGCATTGTCAAAAAAAACTCAATCAGTCGTTGTCACCAATATTGCCGTCTTTTTATCAATTTTTATTTATGGTGGCTGCGCGCCGGAAGCAGATAATTGAAACCATTTTTTCCACTCAACAAAAGTCTCGTTCTCGTCTCATTCACATCGCTATTTAGTCTTGCTTATCAATATCCTTTCACCCAGAGAAAACCGCAAAAATCCTTATCCAGCGAATCAGCCATCCGCTATCCCACAACTACACCGTCCTTTGATATTCGTTCGTTCTGAACCTTGGATAATTCGGTCATGACAAAAATCTAGTGAGTTACGTCCGGCCAGATTGATTCTGCGCTATGTCATGCCTTGTTTTTCTTAATTTTTTTCCATTATGATATATTTAACCTGCCTTAACACATGTATTGTACTAATATTATATATATATATATATATATACTAGTATTTACTCGAGTATCGAGTCCTCTATATGTAGCCTCCTTCAAGTTCGATATCTTTTGATGTTGATGGGTTACTACCGCACTTGATTGAGTTTGTTAATATCGCCCCGCCGTTGCAGTTTTCCTACTTTCTTTCAAGCGGGGGACGCATCCAGCTGATCTTGCATGCCCTAGTCCTAGTGTCGCATTTTAACGCATCAATAAAAAAAAAGACGAGGTGTTTACTTCAAAACGTTTGTCCAGCCGAGTCCCTAATTTCTGACATCTTACGAGACCCCTGACTCACATCTTTTAAGAGGAGACACACAGTATTCTTAACGAACAACAGTTTTCCTCTGTTATACGCCGCTAGTGGTATGATATCATGTTCCCATTATTTACGGTTATCTATCATGTGTATGTATATATCTACATAAAATGTTTTTGAATGAATTTAGTGAATCCATCTCATTGTATATATATGTGTGTGTGTGTGTGTGTGTGTGTGTGTGTGTGTGAATGAAGAAGGTTTTATCTACATAAAACTGTAATAGTTGTGTCAACGTCAATACGTTGGTCGGGGTAAAACGTTTTCCAGCGAAAATAGTAATTACAGTACGTGATAATCGATTCTGCAAGTGCCGCCGCATTTTTATAGAGACGCTTAAATAAGCCTCTTTATTTTATTTTATCTTTATTTTATTGTTATTAGAAAGGTTAAAGGTAAAGTTGCGGTAGCGACTAGTGCCGTTTCGATATCCAGCGGATGAGGAACTCGCCAAACACAGCCTTTTGCAGTTTATCGTGGTATCCAATACATGGATAATTCATGTAGATATAAACTAACGTATCAATATTTGTGTATACATTTTTTTTCGATAACCTATTTTTTTGCAACTATCTGCTTTTGACAATGTTCGATTGTTATTAATATTAGAAGGATTTCCAGGTCGTAAGAGGATGCGCAATTTTGAAAACTTTTGCGGGTGCTTCAGTTACGTTCTCCTGCGGTTTCCTAATCGTCTTCACTGTAATAACATCGATTCACTCTTCACAATTTCTGCAGGGGGTAAACGGCGGGGCAAATGTAGAACTCTTAGATGCGAGTTCGGCTTTAATATGAATAATTAAGCACACGAATCGATAGACCAAAGCCTAACTCGTCGATACTACAAAGGCATTTGTCAAGATCTACATTTGTCAAGTTTAATTGTATAAGGATGATGTTATCGCCATAACTATTTGTGTGGCGTTTTTCGAAGTTAGCCTTCTCAGCGTATAAACGCAACGTAGTATAACAGTGTATGGCCATTAGTTTGTGTCTTAAGTTCGTGTAGTTCCCATTTCATTATCGTCAGTTTTCTCTGCCACATCTCGTTCCGCGCTTCCGTTTTGACGAATCTGCAATCTATTTCAGTCAATTCAATCGAAAACTAACAACGGCGATAGAGCACAAGTCGCTGACAAAAAAACTGAAGTTGATTTTTTGCCTACCGTGATGGTTCGTTATTTCATCTAGTGCTTAAGCCCAACTGTCCTTTGCTTAAGGTCAGTCGTTGTATTCAAATATCACCAATTATGATAGCAAATAGAACAGATAATTGGCTTCGTCTATGTGACAACTATAGAAGCAGCTACCCAATGATTCGCGCGGCAAACAACCTTTCATCCATAACTATAGTGCCGGTCGGCCGTTTTTTTTCGGTGTTACCCCCATATTGTGAGATTACTATTATTATTATTATTATATCATTGTAGTACAAATTAGGGGCATTATTACATATAATTATCCGTATCAAACAATTACATTCGGGGTACACCATACTGTGACTATGTTTAAATCGTCTTCTTAGCTTTTTCTCGAACCAAAATAATGTGCTCAGGGAATTAACATAAACTTAGCATATTTATATAAACAATTCCCAAAACCTCTCCGTTTCCCAAGATCGACACTACGTATTGATGAGTTCGTAAAATAGCCATGCGCAGATTACAAGAGTGATCTAGCAACGAAAAACAGAGCAATTAATTAGATCCAGAACCGGCTGACGCCTGACATCAACAAGAACACCTCAGGTAAGAAAAGCTAAACGATCCTCTTACTTAAATAATGAACTTGTCTTCATTTGTAATTTAAGTTGGATATTTGGCGATATTATGACGGGACTGTAAGCATTCAGTTTCAAGTCAAAATCAATTCTGTCAGCTACCGAACGTCCGCTCGCATATCGCCTGCTTCAAACAAGTACATACTCTGCTGAGGCCCATATGTAAACCAGATGGGCGCTCGCACCGAATGCGCGCAGTTCAAAAACTCGCCTTTTCAAGCCGAAGGTTAAGAACAGGCTTAATGTTTATTGGCACCGAAGAACCGTGCCATACGGAACGCCTCTGTTAGACGACCGCGGGATCGACGATTATCTCTATGAACTTCTTTCACCTATCCTAATAGTCTTAATATCTAATCCTACACTAACTCACCGTTAAATAGATTCAACAAGGATAACGGGGCTCAAGAACCAACACCACTTATAAATAAGCAGATATTTATCCCTTCCGCGCAGGGAGCTTGTTAAAAGGAAGTTTTTTCTCCCTCCGAAGTTCACATATCTCCATTTCCTTACATTTGCCCGCGTACATACGACTTCCTTCTTTTATATCCTAACCACATCGGCTGTTAAATGGGCCACAGTAATACACGAATCACATAGAGATTAATACTAATCATAATGCTTCCAACGTCAGATCGGATAGTGATGTCACTGTGTTGTTTGCAACTTTCAGTATGGTGGGTACCTGGTAATATATTTATGCATAAACGCCTATCATGCTGATCGTGTTTGTTGTTAAAAATAGTAGCAAAGGTAGCCAGGCGAAAACACATACAGACCAACTGCTAATTTTCTAGCGATAATCTCCTTCAGAATATTGCGTGTGCTGTTGTTACTGCCATCCAAAATACAAACGTCTGCGTACCCCTCAGTTTGTCGTCTCTCTACTCTGTACCATTTTTAACAATGCATCGTACATGTTTTTTTGGACAGCTTTTGCTAGTCGGTTAAACCCCCATTCCCTATGTTCAAATATTTAATCTGGGCCCGGGTATAGTCCAGGCATCATTAAAGGGTGCTATTTCTAGCTCCCTAATCTCACGACTGTCGTCACTTGTTTGCCGCTTCGCCATGAAGCAAATCTACGGTCATTAATTGTCTAAATTATATATAAAACACGCATACACACACGGCGGCGGAGCTACTAGCAAATTTATATATATGTATATATATAAAATGGGCAAGAAAAAGAGCTTGTTGACCTCTTTGCTGCCATCCCTAGAAAAGATGATAGAGAGGCTTGAATAGACATCTTTATATCCTACCATTTAGCAGCGAAGTAGCTACTCGTGTTTGTATAACCTGCTCTGGTTATCACTGTAGCAGGTATATAAGGTAGATAAGGTATATAGGCGAACCACATAGCACTGTACATGGCTGTTTCTTTTGACAACCAGTTGACAGATAGTTAGGACGATCCGCATACAATGGTGAGTTCTTCGTCGTGCAGATCAGTCAGTCAGTCAGTCAGTCAGTCAGTCGCAGCAGAAATGCGGACGAAGCCATTAGTACAAAACGAGCCGTGTGAGAATTAGTGTGATTCTTTTGTCATTTACCCTACCGCCGTGTGTATCGACTTCTTTTAATGCAGTAATAAATTACAGCATATTTTGATCAAATCGAGAAATCTAGCTTGTTCGTACTGATGCCGCTCTCGCCTTAGTCGTTCGTGTTTGTGCCTCCCTGTCGTTGTTTTTGTGAACGGCCATCACTACAGTCGTGAAGTTATCATTTGTCCAACAGTATTATTTTAATTGCTATTAGTTATTATCGTGGTGATATAATAATAGTAAAACGTCGCAACAATAAAAACTAGTACGGTAACTGGTCGATAGTAGTGGCCTTATTTAGGCTTATTTATCTTGCTGACAACAACGATGTGCCACAGCTGGTGAATTCATGTATACAGTCATTCAAGATGCGGTAATGGCAGGCGTGTTTCTTCCCTACCGTAGTGCTCTCTTGGAGTGAGGCCTTTAGAGATTTAGAGTTCGATTTGCGGTTAGTTTAATGCAGTTAACTGATTAGAAAAAAAATGGGATGCGACCCAACAAATTCTGCTGAGTGTGGTCTACCACACTCCCTCGATAAAACACATAGTGCATACAGTAGAGGATCAAAACATTAATTATGATTTATCATACTGCAGATTGGTTAGCACCAATCGCCCATGAACGTGAAATTGTCGAACTGTCGCTGATCTTTTTGAGTAAGCGCATTACGATTTTCCTTGGGCGGGGTAAGAATTGGTTTCTCTGATGTGAATTCCGTATCAAAGTTGGACACATCTTCCATGTTGCGTACCTGCAATACAATCATGTGACGATAACGCGGAGCACAGAAAATTAAAGCATCGTTAAAAACGATTGTGTAAATGGTAGGTTATCTTATTGTGGCCTACACTGCATCTGGATCACTTAAAAGAGATAGGAGTGTTTTAATGTTCAAGATCTAAATGTGTCTTATTTCTAACTAGGTTCATACGTTTATACCGTACGCCTCTCCAAATCTAAATAAATGAAATAAAACAATTAACACTTGTGGTCATGTTTGTTCTTTTGCCGCGTCCAATGCAACGTTGTTACATACCGTTGGCACAAAAGGCGGCTTCGTGCGTTTGGCCAGCAAGTCTTCCCAATTTATATTTCTAAAGAACGCCTGCTTTTTAACGTCTGATGCGTCCTTTTCCGTTGCGCCCAACCGGCGTTCAGGGTTCTTGCGTAATAGGCGCCGCATAATGGCGATGGCTTCGATTGAAAGGAAGCGCGGGTATCTGACCTCATCATGGACGATGGAGTCGAACACCTCCTCTTCGTCATCACCTGGAAACGGTGATTCACCGACTAACATCTCGAAAATAAGCACACCTAAACCCCACCAATCGACCGCTCGTGTGTATGCCGACTCGGTAAGCACTTCCGGAGCGAGAAATTCCGGAGTCCCACAGAATGTGCCGGTCTTGTCGCCGAAACCCATGCCCTCTTTGCAGAGACCAAAATCGGCTATCTTTACATAGCCATCCTTATCCAGCAGGAGATTGTCCAGCTTGAGGTCCCGATAGATTATTTTGTTGTCGTGCAGATATTCGAGGCCGAGTACGACGCACGCCGCGTAGAAGACTGCACGCGGCTCATTGAATATATCCGTGTGGATATGCATCATCAGGTCGCCTCCACAAGCGTATTCCATCACAAAACAAACGTGCTCAGGTGTTTGGAAACACGCGTGTAAATTGATCAAAAACGGATGTTTTGTTGCATTAGCCACCTATAAAGTCAATCGAAAGAGGTACGGAAAACACAAGGTCAGAAAAAAGATTCGATGATCAGGAAAGGTTGCCCATGAAAATTCACACTTAAAACATGTGGGGCGCTGAAAAAGGCACAATGATTACAAAACATGTGATGTTTAAAATACAAGGCCATGTTAGACCATGATAGTTGATTTAAGCGGCGGAAGGGGGGGGGGGTCGCGTTGTTACCTCCAGTACTATGTTAATTCGACTCACCAGCGCCACCTTTTCGGTCAATCATGTACGTGTTGTTCTGCCTTTGAAAAATGAAAAAAGCGTGACAAAATTGTTCTCACAAACCTCAACCGCTGCCGCCATTTCCACGATGCCAACTGAGCAAGTTGACAAAGTAACTGAATTTTCTACTAAGCGTTCCTATCAAGACGGCAACTCTACTACGATGATATAGTCACGGAAGATAACGTGATCTCCGTGTAAAACATTTTCATTGTCTGAAAATGTACTGTGCACGTTAAATTTGCAGGTATTATGCTGACTCTTAATCACATGTGTGGCAAGACACCTACCTGAAATATCCTTTTCTCGGCTAAAAGCGATTCGAGTTCGTCCCTGGCGAGGATATCGGCCTTCTTAAGGGCCTTGATTGCGAAGTATTCGCTCGATGATTGATGCCTCGATAGAATAACCTTGCCAAAGTGTCCACGTCCTAACACTATATGAAAGAATGACGGCAGTGTTTAGTAAGTACTCCGATAATTAGCTCACTTTTATAAAAGGACGAAAATTTTCAAGAAATCCACGGTCTAATCAGCCGCCATAATAGTGAAGACCTCTTCGGCCTCTATGTCCAGAATATTTTTAATTAAAAAAGCAAATTTTTTTAATTAGAAACAGATAATAGCGTCTTCAAGGGGGTTAAATAGCGTTGCTTACTATTTATATAGCTTATATAATGCCTAATTTTCCCCACGATTTCACCTTTAAAAGCAGGAATTCTAATAAGAACTTGCCTTTGAGCATTTGGAAATCTTTAAGCTGTAAGAGTTGAACAGCGGAGGTAGGGACCGGAGGTGGAGCTGCCGTTGGAAGCACAGGTGGAGTGACGGGAGCCGAGCCACTTGAGACAATGCCAATTACCGGTTGTCCGGGTTCTAGCGATGTGTTGCTTAGTGAGCGAATAGAAAGCTTTTCCCCGCTGTCGGTGCTTCCACTCTTTTCTCTTGGCCCCACATGGATGTTGTTGTTATTATGATGGATATTGTCATCAGTACAAAGTGACTCCACGGAACCGGCCAGATCAATGATGGGCTGGGGTGATGGCTCGTGTGACGATCCCCCGCTCGACGAAGGTGTCGAAACGCTCTCCTGATGTGGCGCACAATATATGTATATATAGATGTAAGTATTTATATGTCCAACATTTATATATTTATTCTAATAATAATTTAGTAATCTGACGATGGTAGGTAAATCTGATATTGTGAGACAAACATAACACAAGGCCATATGTCAATGGAAGTAAATTTCTGCCATTTACGTTAAAATTTTTCGTCTCAAGCGGCTACTAGGCAACGAAACAACGAAAAAAAGAAACTTTGCCAGTTTCTAGAAATATAATTAAGACAAACGACATTCGCACCTATTGCATTTGGGCGATTATACTTGTATCTTGGCAAAAAGCAAAAAATCACTTTATTAACCTAAGAGGATTCCCATTCGAATAAAGGATAACGATTACCTGTGACGCTGAGTTGGGAAGGGCGGACTGTACAGCGCCGAGGATTCCGGCAGCTCCGCGCCCTCGGGTTGGTCCTAGCGAGGCGCCATTCATCGACTGATTGTTTTGCTGTGACTTTTTGCGCCAGCGAATCCAGGTAACGATATCGATATTCAATTGATTTGGACGCGGTGTTGCTGAAAGGACACGAATAGAAGTGAGGCTTATTTTTTCGATAGAGCTAGCACTTATTATAGAGCAGGCCACAATTAACGAGCACATGCACATATTTAGCCCGTAACAAACGTACCAAATGATGCGATGAACAGCATTTCGGTGATTGTTTCTGTCAACATTACCATTACTCAAGCACTTTTCCTACATGACACCAGCCTATTTGCCTTTTCTATCACTTCAATGTCGCAAACAGCAAGGTAACATAACATTTTGTTCGAATCACAATCAACTAACGTTGACAAAATCGTCCATTTATGCCTGTTCAATGACCGTTCTGAAACATGTGAGAGTGCCGTACAAACTGTCTCCTTACTCTGCAAACCCGATTATTCATTGTCAGACTGACTAATACGCGCTCCGAGTCTTCTTAGAACAAATACTTGGATCCCCTTCCCCATTTCTGGTAGAAAGGAAACTGCTCTTTCAAGAGTTGTTCAGCCCTTACCCACTTGGCGCACAGGCCGTTCAGATTCGGGGGCAACCTTCGGCCGAGAGCAATATAGCTGGCGATGACTCACACTGGTCTTCAGGAATACCCTACGGAACTGAGTGTTATGTGGAAAACAAAGGTCCTGCCACTATAGATACGTCACCGACTACTAGTAGAACTACTACTGCTATAAGAACTCTGCTCCTATGGTTTACTACCAAAATCCTTACAGCCCAACCTTCTCCTCAAAGGAGCACTCGCTTTTTGAATTCTTACACGCAGATGGCTATGGAAAAACGCCGAGAATCATAGGAAAATTCCGATCTACACACGACTACTAGGTTTCGTCTCACCATTTCCTAGGCGCACACCTGTTCTACTAAATTAAGCAAGTACTAATCTATCCCTCGTTAGCGTGGCTAATCCGACTAAGTACGTCCTAGTTGGGTTGGTCAAGCCTTTGTTAGGCACCTATGAAACATCTTACAGTTATGTGACATGAATTTAAAGCTATCTTTATAGTCAGTACCATTTTCGAAACTACATCTTAGCATTGAAAATCACTCCTAGCTAAATGCTATACCTTGCACATAATAACCACATATTCACATATGTAAATGTCGTTTCGCGTCGCGGGTTCTGTTCTAAGAAACCACAACCACTGCCTCTGTTGTTGAATGCATGTCAGGGTACGAACTTATCCCGTGGCTTGATAGAAACGGAGCCCGTTTAACTTAGCTTTGAATTAGATACACCTATCTGCGGAAAAATACTCGCGATTTCCATAGAGAATACAAAAAGCATAAAATGAATAATCAAAATACAGCTTTTTTTTTTCTCAGGATTTGGTAAAGTAAGATGGCGGACTATTCGGAAACTGAAAAAACCTCCTGCAGCACCAAGTTTCCCTGCGCTTTCCTATAGCCACGTACAGTTTACGCGAGAATCACAATAAATATTTCCTGAAGTTATACTACTACACATTTGAACAGGACCAAGTAACATGAACAGTTCTATACAACCCAACGAGAAGTGGGTATACCTGGGTTAGTAAAATCGTTTACGACCAAGACCAGGTAAGTTCGTATGTGGTTTCAGTAGTGACTAAATGCTGACGTTAAAGGTACAATGGCGGTTGAAGCTGTTATGATGTGACAATGATTAATGTCTGGGGACGAATGTGCATTAATGGAACAAGAATAACGCACACGAAAACGGTAGCCAATAGGAATCAATGAACGCAGCGGTATGTCGATTAATAGACTGTACACGTAACAAAAATATCCGTATGATAGATTACGATCACGGTTGTAGGGCATTTTACGAAATGGCTAGAGGCAACTGCAAGCCCCACTTGATTACATCAACTCAGCTTCTATTGATTATAGGGTTCCTGTTAAACGTTCGTCTGCTTCTACTCTTATATCCTTTAGATTAAGCTGGAATATTATCTTGTGGCGCTGGCTAGCATGATCCTCAGATATGAACTTGGGAACGCGAGGTATATTCACCCCTTTCACTTCTGCGCAGCCTTCACGTTTAGTAAGAGCGCGAACAAACCTGACAGAGGTGATATCGGTAATAGGTCAGGACGAGATAGTTGTTACAACTTTTGCGATGACTAACATTTACTATATACGCACTATAACATCAAATATGCTAGATGTTGACACGCAAAGTAAAGGTTGTTAACTAACTCGTCTATGGGACATCTTGGAGTCAAATCTGATTTCTATCAACATGACGACATGAACAGCCTTTCAGATATCCTCTTAATCACAAACATAACAGAATTTTAATCTGAGATAACCGAGTTCGTTTGTACTCGTAGTAGTTTGCGCACCATGTTACCCTTTTCGCATCGGCAATATTTGTAAATAATCTACATCTACTGTATTGTACACTCACATGGGCAATTTAAAATATCTACCAGAGGAGGCGGGGTGGGATAGGCGTTAGTTGACAATGCTTAGTACTAAGGAGATCGATGCCAAAACAGGGGTTCGGTGGGGTTAAAAATTGTGCATTTTGAGTTGTTGCTACCTGAAAAAAATTTTAACTTATTCGGATCTTGACTGTCAGTAACTGACAGGGATACAAAAGGCCATTAAAAAGTCGCCCAGAATTAGAGCAGAGAAAAAAGCGTTCTCTTCCACCACGACAACTCCGGACTACGTACAGTTAAAACTAACCAGTAATCATTCAGAAAGCTTAGAAAAGGATTTCAATGTATTAACCATGTAGCCCGGATTTTGCCGCATCAGAGTACCATCTGTATGAGTTCCTGCACAGCATCCTTAGTGGTATTCATTTAGCTTCAATGGAAGAGCGCAAAAATCACTTGCGATCATTTTCGTCTAGAAACCACAGAAATTCTACAGCGACTGGATTATTGTGTAACCAAAAAATAGCAGAAGTTCATTGAATGGAGTTAAATTCTTCTCAAAATATTGAAAATGTTTGCCTTAATTTCGGCTTGAAGATCGTTAGTACTTTTTCGACCACCCAATAGATATATATATGTCTGAGCTGGAACAAAAGTCAGTTCGAAAGTGTTCACCGTAAAAACTCTCGTTTTCTACATCTTGCAGCTTTAATAACCGTAGGATGGAAATTTGAATTTCACCTCAGTTTGTCTCCAAAGACTTGACAGTCAAGTTGCTTTTTTAAACCGTCAGAAACTTTTACCCAACCCTGATTATAAACAAAATACATTTTATTTTACTATAAATTAGAAATTCAATTATCAGACTATGAAATACTAGCAAAGACCTCCGATCATTGTTATACATAGTGTTTACCTTCAATAGAGATACGATTTTCTATAGTGTCCTTCTACAGATGCCATTTTGCCATAATAGCAACAATGAGCACCTTACTCATAGGCGTACCTTTGTCGCGGAATAAATGTTTCTGCCTTTTAAGCTTGGCTTGTCGCGAGATCATAGGATTAATGAAGCGGATCTCGGCAAAGATAACGCCCTGAGGTTCCAGCTCAATCGCCATTCCGTGTCGGTCCTCGCCGACGAATTCTTCCAAACGAACGAATTTTAGACCACACATTCCTCGCCAGTCTTTCCATAGAACTTGTAGCTCGAGCTCTCGTGATTTCTCGAGCTCAATTTGGAAGCGCTGATCCCACGCCTAAATAGAAGAGAGCCAAATAACATAAAACAGTTCCGGGTAGATAAAACCCACAGAAATACGCAGAAAACAAAAATTCCCAATTATCATTATCCGTATTATGTTCATATACATTGTGTAAAATCAGATATAGTAAACCCAAATAGTAAAAAAAGCAAATTATATTCTCATCCATCTATATATATATATATATATATATATATATATATATATATAGAATGGGGCATTAAATCTCTGGACAGTTTGAAAATCTTTATTTTACACCTGTTCAAGCAACAGGGGAGCTAAATATGATGAAATGAGAGTTTAGTAGAAAAAACATATAAAGAAAATGGAAGATACAAACTGTCACGTAACTTTTGCCCCCCACCCCTGTATGCAATAACCTAGCTCGACCACGGTCCTGTAAACGTAATAGGGGACTCGGTGTAGGAGACAAAAACGACTAACGACTAACCTGTCTGTGACGTAATCAGAAAATGCATTTGTCCGTATGCTTAAGGCTCACCTGCTGAGAACAAGGTTTGGCGGCGGTTTGACCAACAACGATATTGTCGAGTTTGAGTATTGCGTAAATCTCATTGGAGAGGTCACCCTTGATTTCGTATGATCGCGATGAACGGGGCAGTCGCGAGGATGGATGCGGCTGAACCGGTGGTAACCGTCCTGCCAAATTGACAGAGAAAAAAAGGTTAAGCAATTGGCATCTTCTCGCGCATCCACATTTCTAAATGATTCTTAAGCGTGCGAGTCCTTCAATCACGGAATCTATGTTGTATATCGAATATTGGCTGTGTTTCCGAAGAAATCGAAGACTCGGTTTCAGCTCAGCTCTTAGAATCGAATTATTGAGGCAAACTAAATACTGCCGTGATTTGATGCTGGTGAATTTGATTCTTCTCCGATCACCGACAGCCGTAGTCGGCATCCGATCCGTACGTTGCGTGCACATAGTACAGCTGGGCTGGCTAACAGTAGCTACAGACAGGCTGTTACCCGTTCAGAAATTCTTGTTAGTTTTATTTCACTACTGGGTTAATCACCGGCAGGTCACTAGCTTTCATTGCTCTTGTAGGCACAGCAGGAGCAATGACCGGGGCAGCTTGCTCCTTTGTTAAAATCCCACACATTTATAATGTATGACATGTTGCCCTACTAGTTACCCATCAAATTTTCTGGCCGGTAAGGAAAGAGGCAAAAAATTCCGCACGGCGTCATCCGGCAGCTGCACCTGCCATCGTCGTGCGTTAACCAGCGCAGAGTAGATAAGCCTTCTTGTTCTCACTTTGCCAACAATATAGCGACAACCAGCTTCTAATCAAGTGATCTGGGGTCGAAAGCGAGCATAAAATCGTTCAGTGCTAGGATGGGCTAGTCGTCCGACGCACTGCTTGATGTATGAACAAAAAATTTGTTTAGTAATAGCAGTTATTCAGAAAGCCGATGGGATATCGGATACCAAATGCAGCGAACGACTAGCGGGCCCATGTGTCAGTCTGCTGTGCATGATCCGGCAAAAGGACACACTATACACATTTACCAGATCGATATAAGGATATACCCGTAGTAGAATGACTTCTTCTGTCTTGAGACGAAGAGATTGTGATAGGGTAGCTGAAAGAACCGATAATATGAGCGTCTATAAAATGTTCTATAAAATGAAAACCCCATCAAATGACGAAATTACAAGACTGTGGTTCGTATCGAACTGCATAAGGATCCCAGGTCCCCGAAAAACAAAGCGTATTGATAAAAAGAATCGGCAATGAGAAAGGAAGACACTGTCTAATTGCAAAAAAATTCTATAAGCAACAATACTTAGAATATAGCTAGCTTTTAAATTCATAGTTCTTAAAGGTTTGCTCATCGACGTGGAGATATTTATCCTTTAACAGGTTATGATAGTCTCACTGTTCGTCACTGAGAATTTCTTTCCCCCTTTTAACTTGCACTTAAACAATCTCTCCCTTTCAATCATGTCGTACCGGCCACTTTTTGCAAGTATAAGTGCACTTATGTATAAGTAAATGATAAGCAGATGGTACAGCGGGTCGTTGTTCTTACCAGGAACATCAACGAGAAGATTTTGGCAGCCCATTAGTCGCACTTGTAGCTGACCCGTCACAGCGGCTGCCTTAGGTAGTGCTAGTCCGGCACTTCCCGCAAGCGAAAAAGAGCTGCCAGATGCTACTGAAGCCGCTGAGGTCGGCGATTGGGGTTCACTGCTACCCTCTATACCGCCGCTGCCTGTGTTTGGTGCGGTACTGGCTAGCGACGCTCTTTCAGCGGTAGCTTCAAGGCGATCGAGAGCCGCACGGATTAAGTCAATCTTCTGACTCGATTCGACCAGACTAGCCTGGGCCTCATTCATAACCTGGAACGCAGTATTGAGAACATTTTGCCGAAAAATTTGAAAATTCTTATAATTTCACTACTTTATTTATACACTATCTAGATAATCAGACTCTGTTATTCATCTGATCTTTACTACGCGTGTAGCTTGGGACGCCTTGTATGATAATGAAGCAGCTGCCGTTACTCCATTTCTGTGGTGGCTCCAACCTGTAGATTCCTTAAGTTGATTGGTTTCTAGACCAAAGCTTGGTGCCGATGCGCCGGAACCGTCCGTAAATAAAGCATTTCTGCGGATGGAACTTTACGGTCACAAGGGTTAGATATAAAATAACAGTGACCTACAGGAACTAACCGAAGAGCTAAATGCACACAAATATGATCTCTACGTGTCAAGAAGAAAGTTTTGTTCTTTACATGGCATTCATGGCTTTAAGATCCGTTTGAAACCGAATCTGACGAAGTCTATCCCTTTCCCTCTGGATCGGCGATATACCATTGCCAGTAACACTTTAGCCAAGGGTTGACCTAGGTTCTGCGCAGATCCTTGCAGTATATCACAATACACCTTACTTTTATGAAACCTGTAAACAATTATATAAAGTTTACACAACCGACTAGGGGGATTCAACATAGAGTCACATGAGATCGTTTCGCACCTAAGAGCGGTATGTGAGGTGGTGAAGAGTTCAAGCCGTGCGACGGACTATTTCATGCATTATTATTATTATTTGAGATTTACGGAACCCAGGGAGCAGATCCTTTGGCTTAGCAAAGGTTAGCTCTTCAGGGATTAGCATAGAGTTTCAGCGTTCTTCGTGAAGCTATACACAGCAACAAAATTCCTCGTTCCGCAGGCAGATATTAGGAGGAAAACCCATGAAACATCTATACCTCATCCTGATAAAATTTCCTAAAGGGACTGCACACCAAAGACACAGGATTTCTAGAAGTAAACTCTAAATTACGGTATGTCCTTCGAACGGATTCGAGTGAAGGCAAGTGTCTAAGCATAAATCGCTTATGACGAGAGCCCCTCCATTCACAATTCATATAGAGAAGAATCAATGATCTCAGAACTCGGATTACTTTCGCCTGCGAACGGAGAAAGGAACAGCGTAACACAGATTTCGAACTACGGCTGAAAACTTAAACCGACAAGGATTAAAATAATCCCTGATCAAATAATGAAACGCGGGCTCAGAGTCAGCTAACCCCCTGATGACGCGAATGATCATGACAATAATACAAGTTTATGTCATCCAGTAAACTAACAAGATTTTCAGATTAACGAGGCACTAAGCCTTAAAATAAATTGACATTTATTTTAAAGCTTTACTTTTTCATATATATATATATATATATATATATATGAAAAAGTTTGGTACAATTTTATAAAACGATGTATATATTTTGTATTTCCTTATCTACATCTTTACCCATTATAGTTTTTTAACTGCGTCCTCCTCTTATACTGGCGGTTTTTTTTTAATTATTTCCCCATTTCGTTTCGTTCGAGCTCATACTTGTGAATATACGTTTGCTTCCCGTTCACACATCGTGCGCGGCACACATCACATAGTGAAAGTTAAACCAACGATTTTTCTTCGACTGCCTCCACCAAATTGTCTATTTGCCGGATGATCCAGTTCATGCCATTCTTTCGTCATATACTCTGTTGGTATTCTCCTATTAAAGTTTATATAGTTACAATATAAGCTAAAACATCTACACAGTCAATTCCATATTAAAATACATTTGGTCTATAGGTAAACTATTTCTAAAGATAAAGGATAGCTTCGCGTACTGATTCTTTATGTCAAGACTGCATAAAAGCAGTGTCCTTTAATAATTGATATTACCTTCTTATCAAGACAGGATCGAATGACATTTTTGGCCCCCTCCATGACGGCGCGTTCCACCTTGTAGCGATGTCGGAGTTCATGGTAACGGAGCTCGGCCTGAGACGTAGTTTCGCTCCGCTGACCCGTTTGAACTAGCTTCGCAATCATCATTTTGATGTAATCGATTTTTGCTTTTGAATCCTGCAACCAAATAATAGAACAGAAAGGAATAGAGCTCGTGCATTATGAGGCACTCTAGTAGGTCAGAAATAAAATAATAATTTCAACATTGTGCTCATAAGCACATTAGATGTTTATAAGCACAATACTCAGTATACAACCATGGCTACCGTCGACCTCCCACCAGAGGACACCTTGTCAAATAGGCCGACGGACAGAATCAACACTTCAAGCAAGGGACTAACAAGGGCCTGCCAAACAATAATGCATACAATACATAAAACTACCTCGTGCTCGGTTAGGGCAGAACAACCTATCGTTTCGCACAAATGTAGACATACTAAAGTAACCCTCGCTAATAAACTTGCCAATAAGTGAACGCTCTAATAAAGCAAATTCTTGCAAAAAGTAACTAGCTTCTTCACTGAAAGGACCAATTATTTTTCATGTGACACATAAGGCTAAGTTGCCTGGTTGAAATAGACCAAGGGTCTCCAAATCTGGTCAACGACGCATGATTTAAATGAATTTACAAAATTATAGTAATAACAACGACTGTTTTTCTGTTGAATGGTATGGTCGGAGACTCCCAAGGCACATGGGCATGGAACGTGTATATGTGTGTATGCGTATGTGTGTGTTTGTCTTTGCTCAAAGTACAAACAACTCCACTAAACGCTAATAGTGCAGCAATTAATAATAACAATTATAATAAATGCAAAATACTGCATTATATACAGCGAGGACAACCGTTAAACATCAGTAGAATTCTGCCCTTTCCTCCCCGATATTTTTCACTCCTTCCTGCATTCCCCACCCAGAATTATAATGCAAATAGGAGCACTTGCAAAATACGGAGAGGTAATACAATACTGTTTTTAAAGGCCATGATAATTTTTTATGCTCACCCTTATCTAACTGAGTTACGCCTATACTCGTCAGTCAAGTGTCTGTACATTTGAAGACATCATGGGGTTTTTTTCTTGTTCCGATTGGGAACATGTAATGCATATGCATCAGCATCAGGTAAAGGTGGCTAGTGTCAAATCCATCAAATCCAAACGAAAATTTTGCCACTTCGATCTCAAATTCTGGGAAAATCTGGGATTATATTAAGGAAGTACATCTTCAATGGATACAACCAGCAGTAGAACAGCAGATAACGCTAACGAAAAACAACGTTAGACTCAAATTCTACAATTGGCGAACTGGTCAATAAGAATCGTCTATTTTCATCCTCAACTGCGATTCACGTATCTAACTAACTTTTTCAGAGTTATCCTATTGTAATCCCAATTCTAGAGTGCGATGTTCGCGTAAATTTACACATAAACAATGAAAATCATAATAATAATGGCCGGGCCTTGAGCTCGTTTGCGTTAAGGTGTGCGAGCTGAACTCATCCAAAATAGAGATACAATCTAGACGCTTCGATAAAATCAGCCATTACTGTGAACGACCTGCTTGATTTTCACGGCAGCTTCACCGTCACAAAAACCGAATGGAACGCGTAATTAAAAATGAAAAGCTTTATTCATCTAGGAAGATCATCGGATGATGATGATGATCATCATCAGTAGTAATTAGTCATCATCGGATACTTTCCCGTCACAAGCAATAATATAATTCACACAGGATCACAGGCGAATGAATGAAGTTTTGAATTCCGCTGGTTGGAGGATTTATTGGCCTCATATGCATTTTGCCAGCTTTGCGACCTGCAACGACACGGGTTCAGGATATACAGGACAATTTAATCTACTCCAAAGCTAACGCGTGTCGAATAGGCTTTGTATAACTACTGATAATTGCTCACAGATTAGCGCTTTCATAATAAATTCTCTGACAAGTAAACGACGACCGGGTGAGCGACATGTAGAAACAGGGAAGGCGTTTAATTATAAACTGGAATCATCCATATCGAAATTTGGTTGCTTTTTTTAATTTTCTGTTTTTGTAAGAAAAGCATTCGGCTTACTACTGTCTCAGCTGCTCAAATAGCAGAACTTTCGTCGAAAATTCTAATAATAATGAGGACAATGAGTAAAAAACAATATTTACTTTGTGTGTAATCAATTTGAATTATATTCATTACTCAGTGATCAAAATTTCACTAGCTTTTTCGAGGTTTATATTATTATACTGTTCGTTTTTTGATACGCAATAAAGTTCCTACACGACGGAGCTCGGGACGATCCTACATGTGTATTTCACGAAGCAAAATTTACAAAGAGAGATCCGTTGAATAGCGTCATTACGGAATCGGATCAGGACATCAAGATTGATTCCGTGAAGCTGTTGTCCTCAGATTAAAATTTGAGTTGTACGAACGATACTGTCGCGGTTTATTGATTTGGACGCCAGAGCAGCAGAGATAATAACAGCTGGAAGGTATTCGTTTTCGTTTGTTAAAATACAAAAACATGAACATGGGTTACATCGTCACGTATTACCTCTTCGTGTGACATTTGGTCGACCATCAAAGCCTTGTAACGACGGATTGTAATTGAATTTTGGTACCCTATAACGCATTCGCTATCGACTAGCGAACTTTGGGTTGGGAAAAGAACCATCTTTCTCATCCAGTGCTCCGTAACGTGTCACCTGTACTTGATGATCACAATTTAACGCACCTACAACAATGCGTGCTAGCCAACGTTTCGTCTAAAACTGCATCACCCGGCAGTCCCTTAGCCTTCCGAGTATCAGGGGCAATGAAAGGAAAAATTAATCGGTACAAAATATACACTATGAGAGGACAACACCCGTTGGTTTTTTATTTAACTTAGCTCCCGCAGCATTTTTGGTTAAGTAGATCTACGCAGAGGTAAAATCGCCCCATATTATAGAAAATACAAAAAGGTATTTTTGTAGTGCAATACTCAAGCTACGACGCTTTATCGCTCTTTGTTACGCGGCGTGTAAATTAACTGTAAGTACGCATCGCATATTAATGTAGTCTCATAGATGTATTTGTGTCACCATACTATGTCAAAGCGATGTCTATCTCGTCACAAAGCCACTGGATCGCCCGTTGAGGATTAATATAGCAGCGATCTAAAAACTGAGAGTACCTTACGATGACTCGTTTGTCCCGATATGACAACCGAGACAGACTCAACGTGGCACGCAATCGTAGAAACAATTAAATCCGAATGTCCGGAGGGGCTGGCTTCATGCCGCATGCGCTTCAAGCCTCCCATTTGAAAATAGTCAATTTTCTCGTTTCTGTTGTCGATTTTACAGTCTTCACGAAGGCTACAATAACCTTGTTATTGGCTACCAGCTACGATAACGAGCGGCGCTCTGTCGTACAAAACACAACCACCGCTAGGCATAGAGCAGAAAGCCCTTTAGAGTTGCCCCACGCAATGGGTATGATACGGCACGTGCGAAGCAAATAACATTAAATAGCGTACTTAGGTGGGTAAGACTTTTTGGTAGCATTTTTTTTTTGGCTCAGATAGCACTGATTGACTGGGTGCCTGCATGACATGTTGACCCAGATCATGGCGCTATTACCTTAACGCCTACAACAGTAACTTGTTGCGCAACTAATTCCTCATGTTATTTTTGAAGGTTACTTAGTGATGTTTAATTACTACTATATTGATTTTGTCGTTATTGTTGTTGTTGCCGTAAATAGTGATCCAATAGTATAAAGCATTTGCACAATGTTAACCTGTTGTTATCAGGAACTCAATTTATGAACGTATATATAAATGCAGGCCTTATGTTTTTTTTTTTTGAAGACAAATATTTCATGGAGATACTGGCTCGTTCCTTCAATTTGATCATCCCTGTTTGCTACATGATCTTCTTGTAACTGGCTCTTCGGACGTACCTACTGGAATAAAACGTGATCGAGTATCAATCGGCGTTGATGTTTTTAGCCTCCGACCCGTACTTTGTCACATTCCATACGATATGCCAATTGTTATTATTCAATCTCAGTTGTGTCATCATACTTAAGGTCTAATCGTACGACAGGCCGATTTCGATGGTAACTTTTTATGACAAATGCAAAAACAATTTAAGGGTAAAATTGCGTTTTCTTCCGAAATTATCTCACACATATCGGTCTAAAACTAAAAAGACCCAAGGAGCGATCAATGTTTGTCATTGTCACACCCCAGGTGAACTACTTGTTGTCGATGAACTTCGTCCTAGAAAGGTAAACCTTTACAAAAACCCGTTGGACACCAGGAACCGAGTTATTCTGCGCGCGTGTCTGGGTCTAATACAAATCAAATGCAGAACGAGGCACTGGAGTTGATTAGGACGCCTTACTGTGCTGCTCTTAGCCGTCTCTACATACGTTTCTTTGATGCCTCTGTATCAGATATTAGAAGTATCCTATTTTAAATTTTTCTTACAGTTTGGTTGGCGCTTAGGTGCTACGTCATCATATCGACCAAGCTGCAATTTGTATTAGTGTGTATAGTGTTCAATCACTATTTAGGGAGCTTAATGTACAGGCATGTACATCAAACACACATACGGTAAAAAGGCCTGAAGCATACGGAGGATATGGCTTCTAATCCGCTTTGAAAAAACCTTTTAATATATGTTAGCTAGCCCACGTAACTTGTAACTTGGATGCACCTTACTTGACAGGCCAAATACTAGCTCCTAATCCTATGCCTTTAACGAACGCAACAGGTAACGCGACTAGCACTCTACATTGCGGTGTCTAGATACCTGTTTTTTATTATTATAGGAAAATGAGTATTTGAAAAGTCGAAGGGAACTATGGTGAAAGCTCTCTCAGCTGCACTCAAGAGTTCTCGCTACCAATGGTACTCGCTCATTGCCAACTGTCGGTTACGTTGCGATCTCCATCTGGGTTAATATTCGTAGCAGAACACACGGCGATAATGTAATTAGATCAGCTTGATAGGTATACATACGTGTTTTACTATGTCTTTAACCAACTAATTGCCACAGATGAACTCAGTACCATAATCAAGCAGAACTGTAAATTTACGAAGCAGGAGAAACTTTTTTTTTAAACATGCGCTCTCCCACATTCCTCACTGTTCAAATCGGCCTCAATCTGACGCTAGTTTTTCAAGTTTCTCTTTTTTAAGGCTTCAAAATTTTCAGGCTTCTGTTCACCCTAGAATTCATTTTGCCCCCCGCGTGTCGACTCCTTTCGTGCGCATTTTTTGTTCTGAATGAGACTGATAATAATGTTTGTACGGACCTGTAACAATTGTTCGGCCTCGCCTAGCATCTTCTTGTCCTTGATGGCCGAGTACATTCGAATCATATTTTCTGCTCCCTCTTTCACCTTCATTTCGATGCCCAGCTGCTTTTCCAATGTGGTACCACAACATTCGTTGCTAGCACTGGGGCCGCCCATGCCTCCGCCCTCGGCGGCGCTTCCGCCAACCCGGGCGGGCGGACTGTCGTCCTGTAAAAGCAGATGAAATTGAATCGAATCGTGATTTAGGTGATACATGCATGGCTAAAACACCATTTCAAGCAAGATCTTCATCTTGCTTGAAATGGTATTTTCAACACTCAAAAATCGGCTTGCTTTATACATCCAAATTGTGTAGATTTATGCTTAACAGAAAAGACTTGAAGTAGCAAATTTGTTTCTGCAAGACGTTTTGTTAACCGCCATTATCCGTACTATTATTATAACGAATAATCAACAGGGGAAAATGTTGATCCGAATAACAAGCTACTGAAGCACAACAAGTAAACAATTCTTGAGACAAATCGCAGCGCGATTGTCTCCTGGCAGAAATGAGAACAGAACGTAGAAACGTAGACAGAAGACGGGTAGCATATCTAACTGTCGGAAGCGCTGGTTAACCAGTTAAAGTACGGAACGTAAAGCACAGAACAATAGATTTTTGGGTTCGTTTGCAGAATTCTGATGCTAACAGTAATCTAGTAACAATAGCAATGTTATTGTTATAATTATACCTTATTATCAATAAATAAAACACCAATTTTGACCTATTTCATAATCTTCGCAACTAACCGATGGCTAACGCACATTGCATACAGAGGAAGGGTGAGCCTCTTTGCTGTGCACCTCGCATAAAACGGCTCCAAGGAGAAGGGCATGGGCAACGATAATGTCATTGTTATATATGGATGGAATCAACATGGGCACCACACTGCCTATTAGGATGGCACGGTCGATAGATCACTCGTAAGAGCGCAGATAGCAAGTCGACTTTGTGAAACCTCTGCAGATCCTTTAGATAACCACCTGTAGGAGAAAAGGCACCATCTTTGACGGCGAAATTTCAACCTATATTTTTTATTCGTTTTTTGCTATGACAATTGCGACGATTCTCGAAAAACAACCCAGAATCAACTCGGTGAGGAAAAAGCGGATGTACTTTCATGATGTACTTTCTGACCTAATGATGTGGGGGCTAAACTTCCAAATCGGGCGTGGTACACTTGTCTCTGTTGCAAGAAGCCAGCCTTTTGAAACAATGGCAGCACTGGTCGTAGAACTTGTGGAAGTTGTGGAATTATTATTAGAATTAAATATTTATTTTACACCACCATTCTCATTTTCATTGCAATTATTATCTTAGTATCGCACAAATGAATATGTTGATTATACTCTATTATTGATTATATCATTAATATGATCACAGCTTTCAGCGTTTTTCTCCCCTAAGATTATGTTTGTATTGCCACGCAATAATTTCAAGCTAGCAGTCGTTCTAATAAAAAGGTTGTTGTGATCCAGGCTCCGAAGTTGTCTGTAAGGCCCCATTTCCGCGCATCTCGAGTATATACGTTTAACCGCTGATAAATAACCAAAGTTTACTCCTCCAAGAATTAAAACAGCACATCTCTATATTAAGCAAACTATCAGCTATTTTATATGTTTATTACGTTATAAACGGTTTGAATGTGTGCATATCCGATTTTATACCAGGAGGCACTTTCGTGTCTTATGATCTCTGGAGTTCAACGCAAGTCAGCTGAGCGGAAGATTCCCGAAACCTCGTCTACAACAACTACTTTCTACGGTAACCGCTAAAGTACTACAACAGGGGCATTGGGCAGTTTGTCTTAAAGTTGACTAGGGAGAGACATCTCAGAATTATAACAATTCTGCACCCGTAATTGCACCGGGAGGGAAATGCGGCCATCATTAGGCGCTTCACAGGGTGGTGACGCCTTAAGAAACCGTAATGGAGCAGCGTGGTAAAATCTTATTTATTATATGCAATTATTAAGGACCATTAATTTTCGAGCGGAAATCAAAAGGTATTTCGCACTACTTGGCGATTCATGGGTTGCTTTTCAAGATAAGCAAATGTAGATCTAAAGCTTCTAGTAACCACATCGACGTCTCTAACATCAGGTAAAGACCGTTTACCGAGAAGATGTAAGTACTCGCAGCAATAACAGTAAGGAGAGTGTCCTACCTGCCATCAAATACGGTTTATGATTTTAACTGAGTGACGCTGATGGTGGATTCAGATGAGCACATACAGTACACAAATGGACGTAATGTCAAAGCCATTGGACATAAGATACACCTAATTAAAAAGTCCCGCTATGAGTCTGCCACAACTAGTTCAAAAGCCCCACTTTTTAGAATTCTCCTCCCCTAGGAGCTATTATCAGCCCTATTGTTAGCCTTAGTAGGTACGTAAGCAATCGTGTTCTGATGAATTGACTTTTGACATATCCTACCGAAAAGATTAACTTAGTTAGATAATTTTTGCCTTAAAGTTAAGTTTGTGACACTCATTTGTATTGTAGGAAATATTGAAACGAAATGTATATCTCGAAATGAAAACTATTTTTCACAAATTGACTATTAAAGGAATCACTATTGTACTGTTTCATTGTATAGGTCTCGTCCTGATGTGCGAGGACACAGTTAGGACCTTGAAAGATTTTGTTAGTCAAGCTTAAGTGCTCGTATTTACTACGAATATGACATGTCCAATATACCGAGAAAAATATACGCACTTAAACCTCCAAGCAAAATATAAGCGCGGGTTCGCACATCAAATACAACCGCAGTACAATTTTTTCCGCAGGTGCCCTATACTAGCATTGCTTATAACTGCCGTATACCATAAAGGTATCGTCTATGAATGAGCATCTGCTAAATAGTTGATCTGACGAGTGAGCTCGGTCATATTAACAAGCTCCGCTCGTTAGGTTACTATTGTAGCCGTTTGTAGCAAAGTATTGATCGTGGAATATATGTCGCGAGACCCCAGTACGACTTCGGGTGATTTCTGCGGTGACTCGGGGACCCATTCCACTTATATGACTGGGAGGGTAAAGCAGTGAGAACTATTGGCACACTAAGTAGTTACAATTTATGATACATCTCTGATGCTGGCGTTAATGACTATACCAACAGCGTTTCATTATCAGAGAGCAATTGCTACCTATGTAGATGTATTAAACATTTTCGATAGCTCCACAAGATAATGCAAGACCATGTTGGTAATACGATGCTAGTTTTATCTTACCACTTCCTCATCACCTCAACCCGTCCCTGTCTCTTATCCTACTTAACTTCACTGCAGTTTTGCATCACGCATCTCAATATATGGCTTGCTCGAAAGATGGTTTAGGTCAAAATACGATACCGACCCTTGATATATAAAGGAAACTCGTACCTAGCACCTGTGCATTGTACAATGACGACCCTTGATATATAAAGGAAACTCGTACCTAGCACCTGTGCATTGTACAATGAAGAAGTTCGGCAAATGGGGCGACGCGTTTCTACGTAGTGAAATTCCTATATACACTCAGAGCCACTATTCTTCACAGCAACTACCTACATCACAGGCTTCGTCAGTGGCCGCGGTGTTTGCCTCTTTACCTAAAACCCTCCTCAAAAGGCGATTTCATAGTTAAATTAGACGAGGAAGCACGTGAATGTCTGCATTGTCATCTTGACCGCCTGCTCCTTCCCTGTGCCGACCATACTCTCAACATCTGCAGTACCTCCGTCCCGTTGACTGATCGAATCGGTGCAGTGGTAACTGTACCTTTCTCACATGGGCTTCTCCTTGAACAGCAACTATGTGCAGGATAGCGCTAAAATCAAAAACAGTAACGTGTCTGGGTCCGTGAGTTGTTTTCGCTAAAAAGACCCTACCGGATACGGTATTATCGAGCACTCACAGCAGCGATCAAGCAAACCCCTCATCTGCTCCGTGTCAATAACTGCGAGTACGAATAGCGTTCGAATCGTATGGAGCGATGGCAGCTGGAGTTCGACGATTCCAGAAACTGCCGCTGCAGACAAGGCCTCTCCGTAGTGATAGTGTCAACACGTAACTCATACAAACGAAGCGGTTTTGATCCAACTTTGCTACGTCGGTTTGTATAGCGAACACCGGGACGGATCGTTGTAAGTACTCAATAGGATGTGAAACGTGGTCCCGGTGCGGCTGTTAAGAAAATGTTTGCCTCTTTAAATTTTGATTGACCGGTTCGTCGGCGTTGGCCGATTGGTCATGTATAGTAGTCCAACTGTTGCGAAGAGCGGCGAAGTCCACGTGTCAACCCCTTCAACTCAACATTATAGAAGCAGCCATTGGCCTGTGCGGCTTGAGCTAATGCAAATGCTGGTACTTCTGCTGTGAAAATCTCATGACGGTATTACATGATGAATCACTATGGCGCGTATTTCCATTAGCTGTAACATAAGCTAATGAAAATTTGGCTAAAAGTTACACTGGTCAGGGCTGTGGAGGTCGTGAAGAAAATAATACGAAACGTTTCCGTAAAAATTAATATTACTTACGTACATGTAAAAGATAATAATTGAGTCCTCAACTGTTTTTGTAAACATCCGTATTTTAAATTCCGTTATTAGACGGATCAATTTGCGAAAAGTCGTTGAATCTGACTGAAAATTCGGTGTTCTTCTTGTACTTTTCCAGGACAATAAGCTGTGTAGACTTGCCGCCAGGATTCGATTACAAGAAACTATCGCCTTATTTTCAAGACGATAGCTTCTTGTAAGTCACAGACAACGACGCCATCAGATACACGAATGATTTTAACCTTGGTACGCATTCAGAAACAAACAAACATAAAAAACAAGAAATAATAGGAGAGCAGCATTTTCATTTTTTTGGGCACTAATTGCACGTCTACTCCTACAATTACTATTATCGGTCAGCTACGTTTGTGTGCCTCAATCCAAGTCAACTTCGGATCCCCCTACAAGACGGACATCTTACAGTAGCACCATTTATTATCCCTAGCAGGACATTTGACAGCAGTCGTAACGGTGGCGGCAGCAGCCGCAGCAGAGGCAACTGATCCACTGGCGTACTTTGATCCTTTGCACTCGCTCGTATGCTCGGTATCTGTCCATCTCCTTTCGTTTTTTCTCCGTCTGCTTATTTAATTCTCTTCTCTGCTTTAGCGACATATCGAGAA